GCGTGCTCTCAAGATCCTGCGCAGACTCTCCACCAGCCTTTCGCCAAAAGTATATTCCGCCCGCAGTGAATAAGAATTTAAACACACGAAACACACTAAACACAAGCGCGCAATACACATACACACATACAAACATATAGAAGGAAATAAAGATATGTACATTCTGAACACACGCTTCTTATGACAGCTGCAAACAACGAATTTGCCTGCCCACTGTTTGCACCTGCCCGCACGCAAAAGCACACGTACCGCCATAATAAAATAGATTTGTTGGCTCCCGCATGGCTGATCCGAAGAAGGCTTGGCAGGTGACAAGTGGGCTACGGTTTTGAAGGTTCTACTCAGCTACCTTCCTTCAAAGACCCTTCGATCCAAAACAAAAGCGTGGAACTTAAGGTCTAAGCGCCCCTACGGGCCTAGGTTGTGTTTTGTATGTATAGGGATATAAAAAACAACGAGAAAAACAAGTACGCACACAGGATCTGTTCAACATGCATGTCCTTATGCATTATCACTACTCTTTGGAAACAGCCACGCCGCAAGCTCATGTGGGGTTTCTCTTTTTCAAAAGTACCTTATTTCGGCGAGCACACAGTACCTTTATTCTGGGTCCTCGTATTTTCGGTTCTACATTGGGGTCTGAAACTCCCATGTCCTTCTTCAAGATCAGAAGCACCTTTCGGAGCCTCTCCGTGGGGTCCTGAGCAGGAGCTTGACACGAAATCGGAACCAAGGCCCGGCAAAGTGCCTAGTTTTGCTGAAGCTGCCTGATACTTGCTTGGCTAGTACCTACATGAGAACGACGTGAAGAGGCACAAACAAACATGTACACATCCAGGAAGGGTACACATTTTCATCTGCAGGCACGAAAGCACTTGTATGACTTCGGTCCTCGCAGGTCAAGACCTCCTGGAGGTCTTGTCGGGGTGCACTGGACATTCCCGCCGCCTGGGGGGATGCAGGCTTTTCGCGCCCCGATGGTTTCCGCGTGCAGATTCTGCTAAGCAACAAGGTCGGCCAGCTTCAACGGATCGTCCAGGCTGTAATACCTGGCACAGAGTAGGAATCAGAGCAAAGGGCAAAAGGGGGGGGATGAGCGCTCAGCTGCTGAGATGCCTGATCACCTGCTCGAACTGGTCCTTGTTCACGAAGGGCATCTTGAGCAGCTCCTCGCTTGCAGCATGATGTTTCAATGTGCGTAAGGTGCAAGTGCCGGGCAGGGCACTGCCAAGCTCCTTCATAGTCGCAACCATCTCGGAGTGGAGTGCACGAATTTCCATGCTAAGCTTGGCATCGGACGCACTTGGAACCTCGCTTGTCTCGTTCACTTGGTTTTCGAAAACAGGGGACCCTAATATGTAGTGCCCCAAATAGTAGGATCCTTATTATAAGGACCCCAAAATAAGGCACCCTAATGTTCGGAAGACAGTGGTTTGTGAGGAATCCCTTCTGTCCGAGCGGCCACCTGATTTGCCAATGCAACCGTCTCCAACTTGAAGAGGGGACTCACGGATGGCCCCTCTTGTGGGGCAACCCCGACCTGCCAGCGTGATTTTTGGGGTTCAAGGTTTAGGGTTTAGGGTTCCAGGTTAAGGGATTAGGGTTCAAGCTTTAGGGTTTCGGCGCTCACACTCCGACGATCCAGGCGAGGCATGTGGTTCGGATTAGGTTTTCTTTTTTAACGCCCCTTTTCCTATCCGCCACGGAGGTTGGTTGGGAATACCTATTAGGCTGAGGCTTCCGTGCTGGCTAGCTCTTTGCGGGGATTCCCCACCGAACACCCTCTTCCCCAGTACCAGGGTTCAAGGTTTAGGGTTTAGGGGCAGCCAGCTTCATCTTCAAGCTTCCGGAAGCTTAATTACTAAGATAAAGAGCACGCAACGTCGCGGGTGCTACCAGTAGCAGATCCCCGGCCCTAGCTGCTACGAGAGCTCCGTGAGCGACATAAGACTTAAGATGGCACGGAATAAGAAAGGGTTTAGGGTGAAAGAGTATGGAACAACGCAGAGAAGCGGCTCTTCGAATTCTCCCTGTCGGCATGACGAGGAGGCTGCCACCAGGCGAGTTGGGCGACTGGCTGATCAAAGAGACGACCTTTCTCGCGTCAAGCAGCATGAAATCAGTCACTCAGTGACAAATAACTCCAGGAATTTTAAACTCGAAAGCCTCGAAAGCCACCCAGACCAAAAGCCTGGACCTAAACACTCAGACAACTCAGACAACTCCCCCTTCATAGTGCTGCTCTTAGTGACCTGCAGCTTTGTGCCGACCTGCCGGGGCATCTTGCAGCCCAACAGACGCACAAGACGAAACGGTGTGGCAGTCCGGAAAATCGCAAGACTAAGTCCAAGGGCCCTCGAAATCTCTGAACTGGCAGGAGTATTCGAGCCTCCACGAGCTCATCGACGCTGTCCACCTGACTCCAGCGTTTGGGCTTTTTCGGCCTTGCTTGCTACAAGTACTTGGTACCAATTACCACTGGTGCCTTGCCGGTGTCTTTCCGTAGAGGCTTCTTCTCTGCCGCAGGCGGCTGTGAATCCGGGGGCAGCGAGACCAAAGGCGCTGCCGTCTCACTCTGCGGCGCATCCTCCACCACTGGCTGCTGGCTCTTCGTAATAATTACCTATACTATTTGGGGGGTCCGATTATAATTATGGTAAAATACCCCAAAACCCTAGTCTAAGTAGTGATCTCGAACTTCTGATCCCTTTTGACTACAAGAGTTACCCACAGGATGAGATTCACACTACATGCCCCCGGAATCATTGAAAGCATGGCCCCCATCTTGTCGACCCGGGTCCGCAAACTCTGCGGGCAGCTCCGTCGTCATGAATCCAGCTAAGTAGTGGCCCTGGCCAGAAGCCTGTAAGTTGGCAATGAACTCGAAAATCTGTGGCGACGTGATCTGAACCAGGTGGTAGAACCTGTGCCGAAAACATACGAGGAAGCTCGGTGCTGCATCAAAATTCAATTCACTACTGCAAGTAAGGTTGTCTCACACCGAGCCACCCGGGGAAAGCCGGCTTCCGGAAGAGTGGCAACGCGAAGAGCTCCTCCACCTCGCCACCTTCGACCGGTGGGGCGCCCTGGGCCGCGCCCTCGCTGCCGCCTTCGCCTGTGCCTTCGCCGCCCTCAGCTCCTTCAAAGCAGCTGCTTCTCGGCTTTGACTTGCATTGCAATACTCATGGCGAGCAGGATGGCACATGGGCGAAAAGCGTGCGTGCAGGACAACTCGGAACGAAGGATTTCGTCACTGGCAAGAGTAGCAGCAAGCACAGAGGCTTCACGGGAGTTTCCGAAAATAGGGGACCCTAATATAGCACCCGAAATAATAGGAAACTTATTACAAGGACCCCAAAATAAGGTACCCCTAATTTTCGGAAACTCCCTCACTGGCATTGTCGAAACCCATTGCTACCAAAACGTTGCAGGAACCTTCCGATGGGCCATGTCCACCTTCACCTCCTTCTGCACTTGCAGCCTCAAGCTTGTCCCCAGAGAGCCCAATACCCCCTAATTAAGGAATATGGCTTAAAGTATATAGGGCTTCATATTAAGATTTTCGATAAATTCCATAATTAAGGGGTATTGGGCTCGCTGGGTCCAGCACTGAGCCCTTGATCTTCGAACTTCAGACAGCACCTTGAAGCAGAAACATATGGGAGTTTCCGAGAATAGGGGGCCCTAATATACTTCCCTATATGGTAGGATCCGTATTATAAGGAACCCATAATACGGTACCGTTACCCTAATTTCAGAAACTCCCCTTTGAACTATAGCCCCTGAAAACTGCAGTGGCCCAGCGGCGAGGAAGCGGGGCAGCGGCCGCAGCGCTGCCGGCGCCCCGCTGAGGCGGAGGCTCCTGAGCCCACCGGCCGCAACCGAGCCCAAGATAGGGGGCCTCAATAATTAGAACAGGGTTCCTTTAAGGGTTCCCTTTAAAGGGGTCCATATAAGGATTACTATAAGGGGTATTATGGGGATTTAGTATAGGGGTTTTAATAATTAGAATAGGGTTTCGGGGCCCATTATACTATAATCCGAATAAGGAGCCCTCTTTCGGTTTCGGGTCTCATAGGTTTCTCCTTCACTCTAAGGTTTACACCCTCGCAACTCGGACAATCCTGACGAGGTCTCTGCGTACGGGTCGGCTACTCTCTACCTCTGACGAGCCGGCTCACTGCATCACTACGCATATCGTAACTAGGGTTTTGGGTTTTAAGGTTTAGCCGTCCGAACACAAAGCTATGCACCAGCAACCGCAGTTGCGTTGGAAGACGAATGGTGTTGAGTGGCACTGTGCAAGCTCAAAGCCGTAAATTCCACGATGCTGCGCTAGTCGGGACATTTACACACGATGGCCAACCTAGCCATGAATTACACCAGTACAGCAGCAAGGATCACTCGCATCACTCTCCTGCTCTCTCGTCATCTCTGCCGAGTTGGACCTACACGCTTCACCGTGACATGTGCAAGACTGATACGAACACGAAGCCGCCATGACCACCATGATGAGGATGAAAGAGTGCTGGACCGGGTCCTGACTGTTCTGGCGGTGATACCACGACTCCATCGGGCTGCGACCAGGCGCGATCGAAGAGACGCTCGTAGCATGTCCTCACCGTCTAGAGCAGGTGGACATGCCAAACATGTTTCGCAATCCTGTCTCCGAAGCCGGTCCTTTTCGCATGGACAAGCCTGTTTGCGCCCAAGCCTTCCTTGAGCCGCAGTGCAGTCGGATTGTCATCTGGCAGGAGAAGTATCTGAACCCTCACGCTGCATGCTTGTCTGCCCTTGCCCTGAAGCCATGATACCAGAAATTGTCCACCGTACTGTTGAAACCCCATGGCCGCAAACCCGAAACGTGTCGAGCAACATCCACAGTCTGGTGTGGCAAAACCTGGCCAGCCTGACATGGTTGTCGAGGCAAGGCACCCCTCCCGGTAGGCATTCGGTTCGGGATGGGACGCCGGGATCGTGTGTGGAGTGCACCAAGCTGCTTGGGAAGTCCGCAATCACAAACAGGATATCGCTGGGCGGTCAGAGAATCTCTGGCATGATGATTGCAATCCTGACTTGAGCCGTCTTCAACGGCACGACATGAAGGTCAGCGCAGGAATGACTCACCACTGGAAGGCTCCGATTCCGGGTGTATTGCAAGCGAGGCACACAAATGCTAGCATGTTGATTTACACCTTGCAGGCCGATTCTGCCAGCGCATGCGGAGCGGAATTCACGACTCTCTTCGGATTTTAGGGGATGCCCCCTTATGCCGCCAGCGAGCAAAAGGCACAAATCCAGTAGCAGTCGTGGAGCCGCCCGCATTTCTCCAAAATGCGCTCGATGATATCCACATCCTGTCCAGGGAAACATACCAAGGACACTCGAGGCCAACTGACGCTAAGTGCATCTGCCTTCTGGAGCAAGCGTGAAACCAGACCGTAGCTGGATTCCTGGCGACAACCCAATGGCGTCTTTTCTAGGGGTTCCTCATAAATAGTCTTGCTTTCGACTCTCGACAGCTCTCGTCGCAAACAAAGCGCGAAAGTTCCTGTAATGCAGCTTCTGTTCTCAGTGAGGGTCCTCCAACGCATCCGCCACGACAGCGGCACATAGATCCACAAAGCGATTCCCCCACCAGTGCCTCAGCATGGGGAGGTCACGTGGAATCAACTAATCGAGTCGCAGGTAACAAAGATGCTGCACTGAGACATCAAGCTCTTTCTGCACGCAGCCTGTGCGTCTTTGGCTGCAGGATTTAGCTATCGGGCCTGTACTCGGCTTGCCGCGGTGAAACGGAGCAGCGCGCTCCCAGTCCACCCTGGACTAGTGACTAGTCGAATCTGAACTTCTTCTTCTGTTCCTCACAGCGTGCTTCCACCACTGACCTGGTATGCGAAGTATGCGAAGCAGCCCAAAGCACGAAAAAGAAACCTACCATCGCGCATTTTCATACCATGTGAAGGCGCAGCGGCGTGTCCATGGCCACAGGTTCGACGCAGCGCAGCTGGGCAGAAGCAACGACTTCGTCCAACAAGCTGTCCTGGCAGGGCAGTTCCGTGTGGTGCTGAGAGAATGGGTACGCGTTCAACCCTCGTAGTCCAGAACACTTGCGTCATCGTTCTCGACGAAGTCTCTGACCTGATCAAAACCCGGATCCTATTGTCGCAGCGTGGCATTGACGCACACCTGGGGACCGCACCATCTCTGCAATAAAGGCACAGTCGAGCTGGATTTGTTGGAGGCCATATTTCCCGAAGGTCTCCTCCCTTACGTACTCGAAGAAGGCCTGGATTTCGACTGAGACAACAGCGCCCGCCGGGCCGATGAGCCGGATTCCCGCCTTGAAGGCAATCCGCAGTATACCGACAATCGCACCGTTCCTGTTGAAGGGGATCGGAGCAAAGACCTCTCAGGGCATGGAAGATTTCACTTCCGTGTCCACTGGGAGCTTGCGGACTGGGGTTCGTCTGAAAACTATCCAAGACCCCCCTTTGTGCCTGGAGCTTCTTGGCCCAGAGACGCTCGACTTCCAGCTCCATGGAGTTCTTGAAGCGGGACAGATTCCTTCGGTGGTCGCCTGGCCGTTCTTCTCTAGTACTCAGAACGGTCCGAAAAGCTGGACCCCCAGCGATTGATTTGAAGAAATAAACCGAAACTTCTTCGGCGCGATCAGACAAGCCGGAGGAGGGAGCGACAGCTCAGGCGACACAAGCCCACCTGTCTTGGGCTTCCTGGGATCACCCAGCAGCCGCGCCAGCTGCGCATCAAAGGCGTGCACCTTCTCGCACAGCATAGTCGTTGTGGATCTCTCCATTCGTCTTGTTACTCTGGAAACGTATACATACACACACTCATACATGCATACATACATGCATGCATGCATGCATGTCTGCATGCCTACCTACCTACGCACCTACGTACCTCCGTACCTACATACACACATACATGACATAAAGATCACATAAAGAATGCATAAAGATCACATAAAGATCACATAACATACCAGACCATTCCATAGCATAACTGGGCATGACTGTGCAGAACCTAACATACGCATGTACGCGTGTATATATATATATATATATATATATATATATATACATAAGTGTAAACATAAACCCCGTTATCTATCTGTGTGTGTGTTATTGCTTTATCTATGATTGCAACAATAATTAATACAACCATCATTTCATGTTTGTCTCATCTCTCAGAACACTCTTGTAGCCATCTCTTTGAACCCGAAGCGCTTGGTCCGTGCACGCATGCTATCTGCAACCCGTCCACATGCAAGAGCCGGATCAAGCCACATTTTGTTCCCTCTCAACGAAGCATGCAATGCAGATCGACTCGAACAACTTTATGATGATACATTAGAAGGCCTCGCCTCTCGAAGCACCATCTCCACGACCTTCCGTGGCTCTTGTGGTTCGCGCACCTCCACCAGGCCATGCGAATCTAAGCCCAAAGGCAAAACCACGTGCGAAGGTAGGTTTATCCATCCATAAAGCCCATGAGGGCAAGGACCCTAAAATCCCTAAAACACCATCCACCCCATCCATCGAGCGGCCGTCATCCAGTTGCGACTCTGCACAGAATTTCGGAAGAAGTGGGCCAGCCGTTGCCCACTCATGGTCGCCTCGTTTCAATATATAGTTTGAAGACAAGGCCACTGACTGTGACATAACATCTTTGGTCCTGTGCCAAGCACAGTTCAGGCATGGTGCATATTGCGTGATGACTGCTTGAGCCGCACTGCGCGTCGACTTCAGCACCTCGCAGACATTCGCACTTCGAAGCAGGAAAGCTTCAATTAAGCGTGTAAGTGCCTGAGGCACAAAATGCCGGCAAGTCTCCACTGCATTTGGCTGGAGCTCAGCTGCTGTAGCCTCTGCGCCCTCGAAAAGGTCCTTGGCAACGCCCCAGACCTGCAAGCTCGGCAGTTTTTACCAAGTCACCGACTCCTTGAACCTTGTATAAAAATCCCTGAACCCCAAAGTCCCGAAGACCAAAAATCCCAAATCGCTATCCCACCCCACCCTTTTTTCCTGAAGCATCGAAGGCCTACCGCACACCACGAGTTTTGGGGAATATTATACTATAAGTACAATAAGGAACCACCAAAATAGTATAGTCAATTTATTAAAGCCCCTTTAGTCGGTAATCTTTAACTGTTTTACCAGGCCTTGTTGATGGCCTTGACCTCCAGGTGCCGGCCCACCCGCACCAAAGCCAATGCAAACAAACCGCACCATTCGAGATCCTCGGTGGGGTTTAGCGGTTCAGGGTTTCGGCGCTCACACTCGGACAATCCAGGCGAGGCATGTGGTTCGAAGTCTGGCAATGTGAAACATACTAACGGGTCAGTTACAGTATGAAAGAAATACAGTGTATCGGAAAAAACTAAAGTGACTGTACCTGCTCTCACTGCATCCCTCCCAAGATCCTACAAAATGAAGCAGACAGTAGACCAGCACGACCTAGGGAACCATGTAGCTGCGCAGATCACTTCAGGAGGGATCGGGAGGAAGTATAATAATGATAATGATAGCGAGTACCCTAAATGAATGTAACGACCGGGACGGTCTAGGCAGAGTGTGATCTGTGATGGGTCATCCTTAACGATGATTCGGTTTTGTCGGCATCTTACCGGCTGAGGTGTGACGTGTCATATTAGTCTCGCACAGACAATCTCATGCAACAGACTAGTGACGGAGCCGTGAATAATGAAAGACTATGGGACTGCCGCATGCATGTATTTGCAGCAACTTCATGCCTTCGGCCGAAAGATGGCAACATAATCCAAATTTAAAGGCCCGCATCAAAGAACAGTGCTAAACGATCGGCTAGACGGCCAATTACTAATTAATGCCATTCCTGCATTACCAACAGGGTTTAGGGGTTTAGGGTTTACGCTCTCGCAACTGGGGTTGAGGGTTTCGGCGCTCACACTCGGACAATCCAGGAGAGGCAATGGTTCGGGGGTCTGCTGAGTGAGACATTCTAACGGGAGGAGTTTAGGGTTTAGGGGTTTAGGGTTTAGGACCGCAACACTACATACTGTCTTGCACTATACTTGTGACGACTTGTACGAATCATATGAGGAAGGTTTACAAAGCTTCAATCAGGGCCGTGGTGAGGTGGTGAGTGCACATGAGGCGTGTGCGTGTGTGTGTGTGTGTGTGTGTGCCACACTAATGGGGCTATTGGCAATATTTCGCAAGAGCAATGCTACATCATCTGTGGTTGATCCGATAAAGTGTGCCGAGCTCTTGGGAGCTGCAGGACCGAGCCCGGTTCAGCTTTGCCACAGGCTTGATGGTCCCAGGCACAGCCACCTGCTTCATCTCTTTTGCCATTGGCAACGGCAGCAGAGCTTCACCGATGTCGCTCCCCACCTCAGAAGCCGCGATGCACCCGGCGTATGCCAACAGAGTCTGCAAGTCAAGGCAAGAGAGAGCTCTCCACCTTCTTCCCTGCAAGCCACAGTGCTCAAACATTGTCCAAGCGTTTACATGGGCAGTGCATATCTTATGCTCTGCCCCGCGCCCGGTGACCGACCCGCAGCACGCATCTTCAATGACATAGACCAACGGATAGATGCAGCTACAAGGATGGAGCTTCGTGCAGCCAACATGTGCAGGGACAGCACCAGACAAATATGCAGTGTGCCGGTGCACACTAATTCTGCTAACCAAAATGGTAAGCTTCGTATTGCCATCATGGCTCATTCCTTTGCAATGCCAACTCCAGCCTACTGCTCGCCTCCTCCCTTCGTCTTGGTCAGGTTCACCGTCTCGCGCTTGAGGACCTTAGTGAAGGCACACGATGACAGCAACCAAACATGCCAAGTGTCAATCTGCCAGGCGCCTGCCTGTCCTTTTAGACTGGCCTGCTCTTGCAACTTCGAGGCAAAATTGTGCTATTAAATTAGCACGGCTTCATGAAAACTATACCTTCAACTGAGCTCAAGGCGTGAAGCAGGGTCTGGGAGGACTCGAGGATCTTCATGTAAGCGGCTTCCGTCTCCTGGATCGTCTTGTCGTACTCGTTGCGTGCCTGGGTCTTGCGAACCAAGCTCTCGTTCACCTTCTGCAGCCGATCCGTGAGGATGGAAAGCTCTTTCTGGATCTTGGCCTTGTCTTCCTCCTCCTTCAGGATCTGGCGGTTCAGCTCCTCACGTTTCTCTCGGAGATCTTCGATAGACTTCACGAGCTCGTTGTTGTAGTTCTGCAAGGTGGCTCCCTGAGACGCCATGTCGGCAAGCGCGTGAGAAAGGCGAATGAGTTCGCTTGAGCTGTCTTGAAAAGCTGCAGCACCAACACCCTCCAGACAGTGGCTCCTAAACCATAGCTGGGACTCTTCCAAAGCTGTGTCAGAGAGCCCCTAATTTCCCACAACAGGAAGGCCGGAAGCATCTCTTGTGGAAGATAGCAACTTGTGGCCTGCGTGCCAAGGCTGAGGAAGGCCAAGCCACATATGTGCGGCAGACTTCTGTGAAGGTCGTAAAGAACGCCGTAAGCCTCCAGGCTACGCTTGGCAAAGTCCGAGAAATCCAGTCAATCAAGTCCGGGCCATGTTTGCATACAAGCAGCTGTGAGTGGAGTCCCCTGATGAGTTGCTGGCTAGCCACCTGATTAGGCAAAACCCGCATTCTTTCGGCACTTTCAAGCATCAAGCGCCAGTAACTGCAAAGCTCTCAACATGTCCTCCGATCCTTGTCGGGGCCAAGGAGGCTCTGAAGTGGTTGGCACTCCGTCAAAGACGTGAACCCATGCCTAACTGCTCCAGCTCAGGCCACAGAACTTGAACAAGCATCAAAGCGCTTCTAGAGACAGCAGAATTCGCAGAGCAGCATGATTACCGACTGCTCGGTCTTCGCTATCTCTTCCAACACGTCGTCCAAGCCAGAACTGCTGGACTCGCCCAGCTTCTTGCATTCCTGGTGCCTGAATTAGTTGAGTATGCTCTGCGTAAAAAACTTGCAGCAGCTGCAGCATGTCGTGCGAATGTCTGGGGCCCGTACAGCTTACACATCTCTGTCAGCATTGCCGAGCAGGCTGTTGCAAACAGTGCTTTCATAGCGTCCATGGCCTGCAGTAGTCACTACGGACCACTACATCATCCCGTGGTATCTCAAGCAAGCGAATGTTCAGCACCACACCGTCCGGCCAAGGAATGCTCGGAAGAGCCGCGTCAGCAAAGCAGGCAGCAGCGAGTGCAGCCGCCTTCGATTCCGAAGACATCTGTAATTGCGCGAACAGTTTGCAGCGGTCAAACACCCTGCAGAAAAGTTGAGGGTGCCTCAAGGAGTCTCGCACGGAGTGGATGCAAGAAACGAGTACCCGCGTAGGTGGACATTTTTTGTCCACCAGCTGCGTGATACGCTCCTTGTATCTGGTTTCTGGTCGGTCATCATGTGTTGAATCAGAACTCCAAGCTCGCAGGTTTGCTGGGATACACTACTACAACATTGAGCTCCCCACGCACAGATCTTCAATTCTGGCGCTCACGAATTCCGGAAGCACATTCTCGTCAACTGCAGATGCAGATCCGGAGCCTTACATACAGCTTGTGCAGGCCTGGGGGACCTCTCTAAGAATAAAGCTCTGCTTGCAGGACGAGCAACGAACCTCCAGCAACTTCTGGAAACCTAGGGCGAAATTGGTCTTGCTGCATAGAAATGAAAATGCACCAAAGGGAACACCTACCTGAGCCTCCGACCCTCGACAGCATCGCAAAGCATCGGGACGTAGGTCTGTCGTCGGGACAGAAAACACAGGCATGATTCAGAATAGGGTCACCTACCGAAAACCATAGTGCTGATGGCACTGATGGTACATAGCAGGAACTAGCAGCAACAGTAACAGCAGCAACAGCAGCACGAATACTGCCCAGCAAGGAAGGAAGGCCTCTGTCGCTCGCCTGCACGCACCGTGCAAGGCCATGCTCTCAGGTCGTCGGAGCTCTTCCTGATCAGACGTAGAGCTTCAAGCCATACCACGAAAGGCACATCCCGGCACCACACTCTCAAACTCATTCCGGAGCCTGATCCTTGGAGAGCTCTTCATCGCCGGGCTCGGGTCCTTGAAGCACACATGAGAGCAAGGATGCTGACGTCTGCAAGGGCGAAGAGCCCCCACTTGGAAGTTCACGCATAGTTATAAGTGGGGTTACAAGCCCCCTAGTGGGAGGCATGATTATAGTTACCCTCCTTATACATCTATTATAACTATTATAACTAGCCCTGAACCTCCAAGCACAGCTTCCGTAAATGGCCGGCCACCAGCCTGGAGCATCTTCAAGTGGATCGAAACAAGCCGCCAGGCGGCTTCGAAGAGCGCCCGTCCTGCAGGATGTCCATAATTAGAATAAGGTTCCTTTAAAGGGGTCCATACGGGCTACTATTGAGGGCTACTACGAGGATTTAGCGTGGGGGCCTGAATGATTGGAATGGGGTTTTGGAGCCCATTTTACCATACTTATGACAAGGACCCCCCACCTATTTTTTGGAAGTTATTGCGGCCCCTCTAATATTCTAGCATCTCTCTTGCATTTACGGGGCATGGAAGCGTGTCGCAGAGACCCTGAACCCGAAACCCGAGAGGGTCCTTCCAGTCAGATATTCGCTGGAAACTTTGACCTGGTCCTCCCCAAGGTCCAACAGCGTTACAGAGCCTGGAGACAAGAATGCTCTTTGGGGGTTACAGTATAGTATAGTTCAGTAAGTACAGTATAGTATATTATGGTATACAAAGCTCCAGCTGGTTTGGAATTCTGCAAGCCTACTCCTAGTTAAGGTTTAACAGTTCAAAGACATCTCAGGAAGACCCCTAACATGACATAGGCCACTGGTTTAGGTGTTCCCGCGAAGAAGACCACCAAAGGCACTTCACAGTGTTAGGAGTTAGGATCCTCTGAGAGCCAGGGCGCTGTTGACGGCTTCCTCGACAGAGAGCTCCGGAGAACGCAAGCGGTCTTCTAGGGCGACACGGATGCGACCCATCTGAAGTTCCACCTTCCACATTGTGAAGGCAGGGGTCTGCACTTACACTTTTGCCGGGGTCTAGTGCCAATTGAAGTATGTTTTCCAGGCTTGCCGTGTATACCGGGCTGCACGGAGGCAGCACTTGCACCCTCCCCGGCCTCCTCTAGGACCTTCTGAAAGGTGGGCATGTGCCTGTCAGACGCACATCCCTGCTCTGAAGCACCCTCCGAGAGCCGGACCTACAAACCGCTTCCCGAGGCACCTGTATTGACGAAGGAAGCCTGAACAGCAGCCTCAGATGCAGGTCAGAGGCTTTCATGCGGGGGGTGATACCTGACAAGCCAACCGGACACCCAAAAGTTGCTACTTGCAGATTGGCAGCAATATGCCTCCACTGCTTCTCCATAGGCCTTTCGGTCGAGGCACTTCTGGAGTGTTGCAGGAAGCTCAAAGAGCACCTCACGGCTAATCAAGGACAGGTGAAATTTTAGCGCAGGTCTCCATCATCGTGCTCCATATCGCAACTGGACGCGATGGCCTGGAGCTTCCGACACACGCGCTGCCTGAGCCGTCTCGAAATCCTTCCCCACTTTCTATTCTTCTGCCACTGTCTCACTTAGCACTCGATGCCGAAAGATGGTTGGAGGTAAGGACGGGGCTGCTTCAGCAGGTCCTCGATCCGGCCGGCTCTACCTGATGTCCCATCTTCAACCTTCTTCTGGTGTTCTGTTATCCTGCGTCGAGCACGAAGAAGCAGATGGAAATATGCTTGCAACCGCTGTAGAGTTGTAGCAGATTGTAGCTGTGTCCTGGAGACATTGCCTTCAAGCACTTTCAAGTCAGGGTCCAGCCCTTCTATCGTGAATTTCATCTGCTTTATCACATCCTCAGCCGACAGGGTCTCCGCGAGAAGGTGGCAAGCTAGCAATCTATAGGTTTTTTACGACTCGCCAAGTTTCTGTTGCTCGGATGAACTTGCTGTAGTTCCTTGCAGGGAGGCGTGGAAAGCTGCGGCTATAAAGCAGCCCCCGAAAAGATGCCAGGGTGCTCGTAAACTAGCATCTGCATGTCGCCATCCAGATCCTGCAAAGAGAGCATGGTCTAGAACGCTATGACATGTGACTGCTTGCCAGTGCTTCCAAGAAAGGGTCTCCGAAGGCCACATCTTCCTACTTTCAGGATCTTTCGGGTGAGCGGAAACCCGATAAACGCTCAGCCGTAGACCGCCACCTGTCCTTGATCTCAGCGTCCAGCTCGTTGGCGCGCTTGACGAGCTCGGGCAGCTGGCCGGAAGAAACCAGACCGTCAAAGTAGCCTCAGCACTATCCGTCAAAGCCTCAAAAGCCACGGCTCCGGCAGGGCACAAAACTTTAAAAGAGAAAACCAGACGAAAGGTGTGGACCATCAGGCATGTCCAAGATGCGCTTTGCGTCAAAGCCAACCTTGTCCAGATCACTGCCGCCGGGAGCGGCCACAGCCGGATCCTTCTTCTCCGTACCCTCAATGTGGTAATACCTGTCAGCAGATGAAAGGAATGTACTTTAAACCAAAACTTCAACCCCGGCATGATCCAAGGTACATAAGTGCCTCATATAATTAATGCTTTACAAAACCCATCAAAACCGTCGTGGTTTCATGTATAGTATAGATTCCTTAATGAAAGGGCCCCTGTGGACTCTCTGGGTCAGTCTGCCCCTAAGGTTTGGCAGTCGCCGAGTTGCGCGTTGAGCAGCGCCCCAACCCGCCGGCGCTCGCGTGGCGGGCGACCCTCCATGGCTTCTCGGGCCAGCCCTGAGAAAGTGAGGATTCCGGTGCTTTCCAAAGCTGTCTGCAGGCTGCTTCTGGGTTTGGTGGGTTGGTCTTGCAGGGTCCACATTGACATGGCGATGATCGGCCCTGAGCCTATAGACGCCCCGTGCCTGTGAATGGAGAATGGCCCCCCACATGGCGCAACAAAGATGCAACAAACATGCTCCGATGCCGTCTCCCTGCGGCCCTCACGTTACCATCTTTTGGGGCCGACCACTTCTTCCAGCACCTTCAAAAGCCTGAACATAACGCAGGAAAAGGATCTGGAGCACGATTCTTCAAGTCGAAACGGCCTGCACATACGAGCTGCGAGACTCTTTCGTCATGGGAATAATGGCGTGGCGCACAACCTGGGTAAAAACAAGGACTGCGCACAGCAAACTCAGTTCTATCAATGCCGTCTGAAGGGCATCACCAGTGGTATGCACGCTTGCTTTGTAGTGTGGCATCACATCCCGCAAATCTCCTGAGCTCAGAAGTATCTTCGAATGTCGCATGGGAAAAGCTGGACATTGTCAGCGGCACAATTCCGGTCATGTCAATTTCAGCTTTGCCGCCCAGGAGCTGTAGAATCCCAGTAGCTCTTTCACGGTGATGCCACGCCCAGCGATCTCAGCCACCTTCATGTTCCAAGCTGTCGACGATCGCTCGAAGCTGAGCTCTCCTGGCAACATATCATTTGGGAGTTCCCGAAAATTAGGGGTACCTTATTTGGGTGTCCTTATAATAAGGATCCTACTATGTAGGGTACCATATTGATTGGGGCCCCCTATTTTCGGAAACTCCCATTTCAAGCACATCACAAAGCTTTGGGCGGCGGTAACTCCCTTATCGGAGACTCTCCGGGATATGCCTCGACAAGGCCTCTAAAATTAGTATTATTATTAGTATTATTATTAGTAGTAGTAGTAGTAGTAGTAGTAGTAGTAGTATTATTATTCGTATTATTATTAAAATTATTAGTATTATTATTAGTATTATTCTTAGCATTATTGTTCGTATTCTTAGTATTCTTAGTATTATTAGTATTACTAGTATTATTTATTCTGGTATTACTACTATTATTATTATTAAAGCTCAGAAACCCTGCACTGGTTGATGCCGGCCGGTCCCTTCCTTGTGTCAGGTAGACTGGACTTTTATGGCCGCCTGAACTTGAGAAGTAGACAGACAACTTACCTTGGGTTAGTAGGGAACTAAGGGGGCCTTATAAAGAGGTCTATAAGGGTTACTATAAGGATACTATAATATAGCGGCCTTAATAATCCTATAGCTTACCTTGGGTTAGTAGGGAATGGAGGAATGGCGTACAATTATAACTACTATTACTACCATTCTTCCATTCCCTACTAACCAAAGGTAAGACAAGCCAGAAGGGAGGAGGGACCCTTGACTCTTTGGATCGTTGCTACGGGCAGGAGCATTTTCGAACTCGAACCCTGGAAGTTCCGTAGCATGTCCTTGTTGTGCCCGAGCGGTATTCACCGACAGCTGTGTGAAACTGTGCCCCACACACACACGGACACACACCCGCACACCTCGGCACCAAACTCCTCGACCGCAGGGTTGAGCGGGTGGCCTTTGGGGGCCTCCTGTCTTTAAATTCAAGCCACAAGGGGGCAGGGGATAGAGGGATGAGCCCTGAAAGTGCTTGCAGACCCAATGCTTCTAAGTGATGAGAGACGTAGCTTTCGGGACCTGTGCTAATGCTTAGAAACCTGAGTCTCCATGCCACAAAGCGTCGGCTGGCGGTCTTCTCACGGCGCCTTGGGTAAGCTAGGAGAAGACTTCAGTGGTATCTTTAACAAGACCTTACGATGCTCACGGAGTCTTGAGTGGTGCGTGCTGGAGCTGTAAGCGGTCTCAGCTTATTTTCGAAGCCTGGGCACATTGACATGGAGTCGGCCGAGTCTGCGGTGGCAAACTGCCAGCTGCATGGCCTTGGAATGATTCGGGGGATTCCATCAGCCCCCTAAGTTGCTGCCAAGCCAAGGCAGCGCTTTCGCACTTTCGATATCCCTGCCAAAGCGGCTGATCAGCGCGCGACCGGTGCCGGATTGGTCGCCGGTAGCCGCCGGACAGGATGAGGGCCGCGGACACGCAAGTAAGCAATTCCATGGCCTTTCTGGCGTTGCTGGTGCGATCTGTGAAGCTGAAGCACAAGGGAGAACAAAACTAATTTCTTGGAGGGGGTTGACATTGATTACCAAATTACAGTTGCCACTGGCTCTGTTGCTGTTTACTCTACCCTACACCATTCACATTGCAACAACCATCTCGACAAATCTATGAGGATATGTGCTGAAGCTTTCGTGATGTTTCAAGCTTGCTTTGACTCTCAGTACCCGGTGGTCGTTTTTGTTGCGAAGATTGCTGCTACTCTGCCGCGACGACGAGGACGACAACAGGGAGGAGGAGGAGGAGGAGGAGGAGAAGGAGCAGGACGAGGACGACGAAGACTTCGACGATCGTCACTTTTTCGATCGTTTTCGGTGGTTCTGCGTTGTGCCACTACTTCGAACAGAACAGGACAGAGCAGAGTATATCGTTCCTCGTATGTCTATCACTGCCAGTCCTCTTCGTTGGTGTCGGTGTTGATGTCGCTCAGTCTTGTCCGAGTACAGAGTGGCATCGTAGGAACGAGTGGCACTTACGGTCAAACGCTACCCATGTTTCATAGTCATGCTGGGTTATTCATGCTGGCTTCTGCTTTGAACTCACTCTTCGCAGATGCCTGGAAGGAACAGCTGATGGCCAGGTCCGGCTCACTTCGGTAGCCCCGACCGTCCAAGAGCTTCTCCAAAGCGACGGGGAGTAGGGCGGAGCCTGCGAATGAAACGCGGAAAGCATTGAAATAATTACAAGGAATCCCTTTCAAATCACCCTCCGGCTGAAATGGGCTTCCTGATTCCTGGGCCCGTCAGACTTGAAAGTCAACTTGGGAGCCCTGCGACCACATGCAGTCTGGCGCAACGGAGACTGCCGCACCCCCCCTCCACTCTTCAGACTCGGAACTTGCCACCAGATGCAGTATGACACCGAAGAGCTGCCATCGGACCACGGCCCGTGCCCGCCGCAGCTGCTGACCAGCACGCCTGTATCAACGAATGTGAGGAAGGTGTGAAAATCCGCTGCTCAGCAAGGGCAACCCATCGAACTCGCCTCGCTCGAGGGTAGGTGGAAGTGAAGTCGTTGGTGACGCGCACAGCCTGCGGCGAGGCGAGACCAGACATCTCAAGAAGCGAAGAAGCGAGGCTGCGCCGGAGGACCTGGCCAAGGTCCCAAAGGATCACCGACATGATGATGATGACCGTGACCTGAGCCAGGTCTAGGTCTAAGCGACTCTGCGAAGTCGGCGGCCGCAGCTCCCGGGCGCTGGACGCCGGTGGCCACGAAGAGAAGGAAGTTCATGCCCCCAAGGACGAGCTGAAGCGCCATGAGGCCGGTGTAAGGCTCACCTAAATTACAGGAATCACGGCTGCTTCTGCAGAGCGGAAACTGGCCTCTGCAGGCGAGTGGCACTCCACGCAATTATTCCAAAACTTGACATGCGCGGTAATCGCGCTTTCTGCAACCTGGCCGCAACTCAGATTTGGACGGCTACGCTTGAAATGTTGTGCTCTTGTAATGAAGAATCGGACTTGCAGTCGGCGAGAGTGGAGGTGACAAGAAAATAGTCACTGTGCGATACGATGTTCAGGGTCCAACAGAAAGGAAGACGCAAGTGAAAGCACTTGAAATTCTGAAACAAGGTAGTGAAAAACAGTAGCATTCGGAGCGGTAGCAGCCGCAACAGGATCAAGCATGAACAAATGATTACAGCGGCATGGTTGCCTACGATTACGACGACTGCTAGTATAACGAAGATAACTACCACAGCTGCTAACTACTACCTGCTACCTACTACCCACTACCACTACCACCACAACTACCACTGCTGCTGCTACTACTACTCCTCCTCCTCCTCCTCCTACTCCGTACCACCTCATGACGATGACGATGTCGAAAACTACGGCTCAACATCCTACCTGCCACGACTTTTGATAACAGTCCGAGCTGCAAACTGGGGCCGCATGAGCCCCAAACAGTACTTCCAGGAATCCCTTCTTGAGGCGCCCAAAGCATCCCAAAGCCACCCCAAATGATCACACCACACTCCGGCAGGATGTGCAGCGCGCCATAGCGGGAGCAGTGCGCGTGTCACAGGAACTGGGATCTAGATCCCTAAACCGCACTTTAGGCCCTAAATGTAACATGCTCGGAGTGTTGCCACACAGCCACATACTGCCGCACTGTTTGGAGATTCTGGTCTTTACAATCAGTAGGTCAGTAAGCCCTAAGCTCGAATTCCATGTCCTTCACATAGCTACGCTACCGTTCCGAAAACTTGGTTGCAGGCCTCCGCACCAAATGGCTCATCTGAGCTTGTCTGAGATGCGCCAATCGATGTATAGGTCCTTGAAGCATCGCTGGAACGCGCATGCACGAGACGATGCACCAATAGATCTGCTCAGGAAAGTTCCAGATGCTCACGGCAAGAGCAACCGTTGCCGCAATTTTCTGCACGGCTATGCCGACGGCAAGGCACCTGCCAAAATGCTAAACCAAGCCAAGCCAATGCACAAATGCAAAAGCGTCTCGTGATGTGGTCTGGCAGGTTCAGGAGCAAGCTCGCAGTGCTTAATACTTGACGGAGCTCAAACACCACCAGGCACCTTCCGCCGAAGAAGCGACGTGATGTGGCCTCCACTGCCTGCACCTCTGTAAGTCCAGACTGTGATACTACAATGCAGAGACCGCGATAAATCCCAAACTCTGCGGCATGCAGGCTTCATGTCTGTGCCGTCTGCTGCCAAGGTTCTCGCCAGACCATGAGGTGCTGCATCCAAATCAAGGTGGCGAGGAACAAGAGTGTGCGAACGATGATAACTCCGTAGTAGTCCTTGTAATAATCGGCCCTGTCGTAGCTGCTCAGCTCCTGCCAGGGCGTCTTCTTGCTTCGGGCACGCAGATGGCTTCGACCTCATTGGGCTTTATGGGACAGCTTATACATTATGCTCCCGACTCCTGCGGTGCGAAGATTTTCTGCATCGTCCCATAGGCGCAACCGCTCTTGGCTCGCTCATGAGCGGGCAGAACGGTCGCCACCAGGCCCTGAAACCAACTCAGCAGAGCCAGGCCTCCAGATCCAGATGATATGGGACTTAAAGGGTTCCTTAAAGGGATCCATAAGGGATCTATAAAGGGTTTCGGCGATCTATAAAGGGTTTAGGGTTTAGAGTTTCCGGAAATAGGGGACCCTAATGATGTGCCCTAAATAGTAGGATCCTTATTATAAGGACTCCCAAATAAGGTACCCCTCATTTTCGGAAACTCCCATGTTCAAGCCCCACAGCAGACGAAAGGGAGACAACACTCTACCATGCTGGATGCAATCTTGTCTTTATCGCTACTGGGAAGTTCACGTGGGATTCTGCAGGCACACAGACCGGAAAGTTTGGCTCCACCGAAATGGCTGAAAGGTTGCAGTCTGCATCTTTGGATCTTAAAACAGAGATAAAGATCTGTTTGGGCTTAAGTACATCAAGGTTCGGGCGTACGCACAAAACATCACCACAGCGCCTGAAGCCGACAGGATGTGCGCCGAACCACCAGCATTGCGAAACATGAGGCAAGCTGCAACACCTGCCACGCGCTCACCACCCACAAATGCATCTGGCTCTCCGATCATGCAATGCCCGTCACCACTGTATGCATTCTTGGTCCCCCCATCAGATCTCAACTCCCCGGCAAAACAACGCAACTATGCTTTGAACCCCGAACACTCGTGATCGTGGGAAGCTTCACAATTTTTTCGAAGGTGCGAAAGTGAGCTTTGTGGCGAGTCCCAGGCCTGCAAATGTTGCCACGCACAAGATCAGGTAGAAGCCAATGTGGTCGACCTTACAAGCATATTACCGAGGTTCTGCTGGACACTATCAGATCGTGTGCAGGGTTTCGGATTACGGGCAATGGAGAGTGGCAAATGCAGGCAAGTAGCCGCATCGCAGCCAAGTTTGTCCACATGCACTGATGGGTTCTCCCGACGCCATGCAATGGTTGCCTCGTGGTCCCTCGGTGCCATGACCACGGCGTAAAGCGCTGTGACCTGATCAAGGCTGCTCCAGATATTGTCCGCGTCAGCAGGTCGTTGGATAAAGACGAGCTTCACTCACGCTCGAGGAATATAGTTGTTGTCACAAGCTACGACCAAGAACGGCTAAGGCATTGCTGCCGAAGCACGACAAGCACCATGGTAGTCAGGGCCAAGAACGACAGCCAATCTGCAAAGTGACCTTGTCTGAACAAGCCAACGACAGGGGCTTCGAATAAAACAGGAGAACGTGAGCAACAGCAAGCTTTCAGACCCCAGATGCTGTCGCCCAACTGCAGCAAAGTCCTGGCAGATAACGATGATGGTATAGGTAACGCTGGACTGTGCAACTTTATATGTAATCAATACTCCTCTAGTAAGCATGTTAGCGTTACGCGGTCTTGCCAAAACCGGGTCCTGACCCCGATGCTCCACTTCCGGACGCCGAAGTGCGTTTCACCCGAGGCGTTCGAAATTGCAGCCTTGGCGGTGTCTACGACTTGCATACATACAGGCAGAAATACATACACATAACGTCAACCATACAAACACACATATGTACATATGTGTATATGTCCACATGGTGTTGTGTGCGTATGCGTATATGTATAGGCAGGTAATGGTATGTGTGTATACATGTAAAAATATATACATATATATATATATGTATACATGTATGCGCCAGACACTCAAGATCGCTTGCTGGGCCTCCTGCCTCACAACCACCGCCTGCTGTCACAGCCAAGGCAATGCGTTTCACGTTTACGAGATGGCTCACACGGCGCCCTGAAGCCGGCCAAAGATCATGCAACCTGAACTCTAAGAAACCATGTGACAGACGAAAGCCTCACCAGAATCCCCGAACTTCTGTCCAAGGTGAACGAGCATAGCTGGCATAGCTCCAATGTTAAGCATTGACGTCGCTGCAGGTGCAACTTGACTCCAGAACCCCACTCATCATGCAGTCTCCTGAGGAGATTTATCAGAGAAGCACCTGAAAGAAGGCAACCATCCCTGCACCTTGTTCTCTTCGCCATGCCCGAGCCATGTAGGAAGGAGCCGGCACCGTTAGGATTGAGTGCGGTGAGCCTTGGATCATGCAAATAACAAGCAAACCATCTCGTCCACATGCCGCAAAGCAAGTCTGGTCAGCCACGGTGGCTTGGTGCGAAATTGTACTGCATTGCCTCAGCGAGATACGATGCAACATGCAATCTCGACGCGCAGCCCACCAGCACGGAATGAGGGTGCAGCCACACTCTTGCTGGATGACTTTGAAGTTTCGCGAACAGCACCCACCCGCCCCAGCACAGTCGGAAGCGAGTCCGAAGGGGGATCAAGACCTGAAGGTAGACAGGAGTGCAATGTCACTTCACTTGCATCCTCTCAAGCTCACAAGCCGCCTCCGATGCCGCTCCTCTCTCGAGGAACGGGCAAATGTGCGAACGTCGCAGCACTCTCGAGCACCTGCATCTTGCAAACACACCACAGCCATCGACTGCCCGCCCTGCGCTGCACCGAACAGTCAGCAGCCTCGGCATCCAGCCAAGGAACTGGAAGCCGAGTGGGAGAACAGCATCTCCTGGGAAACTTCTCACCACTCGGAGGGAGAATCTCTGAATCTCAGTTACACTCAGCTACGCTGCGTCAACGCCTGTCGGGAGTGTCAGCGGAGCTCGGTGCATCCGGTGACACAGCCTGGGCCCCGGCGCTGCAAGGGCATGGCAGCAGCCGCTGATCCAAGTGCTTCTAAAGGCAAGCAGCTTCCGTGCTGACGGACACCGGGCTCATCGGGCCCAGATGCTTTGACTCCGTCACGCTGTCTGACTCCAGAAGCTCCATCTGCCCATCAACACGATTCAGCGTGCATCTTGAGAGGCGATGCGGACTCAGCGTGGCTTTGTTCCATGCATCTGTTCGGACAAGAGGCCGGTGAATGAGGCTTCTCACCAACCGGGAAAACCATCAAGGCCCTTGAAGAAGCAGACATGCAAGTGGCCAAGCATTTTACCATAATTACTGCAGATGCTGCTTGCTGCTTTCTGCTCGGTCCAAGAAGTCTGCAATGAGCTGCGTGCCGAGAAGCGAGCTGATCTGGTCTGGCGCAGCAGAACCCCGGGTCTCGGAGGCCGCACTTGCTGGTAGCATCGCAAGACCAAAGCCGAATCCAGAGCCGGTTCTAGAATCTAGAAGCTGCAAATCAAATCGTCATGCAAGCTTCGGCTTCTCCGATCATGTCCTTCCACTAAGAACAAAGAGCGCTTCTGATACTAGTACGAACAAACCTCACTCCGGACTCAGCCACACGGAACTGCCGTGCGCTGTACAAGGGCCACCAGTCAGCAATAGGCTGATGTCAGAAAAGCCAGAAGGCTGCGAAGCCCAGGCGCATTCAAGAACAGCAAGCAGACAAGTCAACATGAATCTATCATCAAAATATCGGACATGCAATGCTGCCAAGCACAGTCGGGTCTGGGTCTGTTGACAAGTCAGGACCCGCCTCTGTGAGTGCGGTCTCCGACCTGCCCTGAACTAACAGCTACATCCCCCGGATCGTCTCTTGAGCCACTCGGCGCAGAAGTAAACAGGACAGGGGCAAGCTGCTTTCGATTGAACCCCTGGCGCCGCTGAACTGAACGTCTGCTTCTGGGGTGCAGCTGGGTCGTCGAGCAAAGACAAGAGAAAGGCGATGGCAAAGCTGAGCTTGACATTGCTGTCTTGCCAAAAGACTAGGCTCGGAGATTTTCCTTCGGGGTGATCTCGTGGAGTCGCCCTTCACTAAGGCCAACATGGAAGATCCCACCGCGGACTTCTGCAACCTGACCATCCACCAGAATGTCTGAATCTGGCCATGGTGATTGCACCAGGAAGTCCTCAGTCTCACAGCTTTGTGAAACCGCCCCAGGAAGCCCCGCTGCCTCTACGCCTAGATCCACGCCTTACGACAGCTTCGTCGAAGTGATACTCGTGTTCTGATGTCATTCTGGACAAGATGCCGTTCGCACCACCGTAGGACCCATATCTAGCTCTGCCTCGAGCACAGGAAGCTGCATATTGAACTCCTTGGATGCTAAAGGTGGGACAGGGCTTCAGTTTGCTATGTGACCGAAAAGAAAAGCTTCCTCGCTGAGTTGCACACAAAAGAACAGGAGGATTCAGATTCCTGCCACGCCTCGGTCACAAATCCTGAGGCCGTCCGACTGGCCCTTACCATCACAGGCCCCGGAGCGCGGAGGTGGAAAGAAGCCGCCATGCCAAGTGGCAAGGACGGGAAAACCTCCCAAACAAACGATCCGCGTTAGAGGATTTAACCCTGGCGGATGCCCGAGTTGTGGAGAGAAGCAACAATTCAATGCTACCTCGCATAGGGGTGCAGCTACCGCTACAGCAACCGTAACTAAACTGCCGCACTGCAACACCTGTAGATACTAACCCTATTAGTCTGATGCTATGGAGCATCTCTCAACTCTCTAGTCTGCGCATAGGTAGGAAGGAGCACCCGAGGCTGCTCAGCTACTCTCTTACAGGCCGGTGTACAAAGCAGACTGCATCGGAAACGTGAAGTTTCCCTTCCCCGCAGCCCTAGTCACTAGCCCTAGTCCTTCCAAGGCGCCTGAAGCACGCCTTCAGGCATCTGCAGAAGTAGCTCTGTGGCAAAAGCTGCGCCACCCACATTTTCCTCATTCCGCAAGGATGACAAATAAAGCCCGCTCCACATAAATAAACCTGTAGCGTTGCCAAGTCTCCAGGCCCGTGCCGCCACAGCCCAGCACCATGCCGTTACTGTAAAGGCCACATTTCGGATCCGACCTTCTTGGGAAATGGTTCACATACCCTCTTTGCGCAGACTTGTATGCAAACTTGCCAGGACAAAACTGGAGCCCAGGCGTGTTGGTGAGATATGCCTCCCAATCCTCGGCATGATGAGGTGCGGAGGGAACAAGGAATCTAGTATTTCTGGCTACTATATTACTATATGCTATACACTGGTCACTGTACAGTGTTACTATGTGCTATATGCTACCTACTATCATATACACCCCCCCCCCCGCCAAAAAAAAACAAAACTAATGTACTTTGGGTGGACCCCTTACGTACATTGTTCGTTGCTGTTCGTTGCTGTTCGTTGCTCCAGGGGTCAATGACCGAAGTCCCCAACTACATTATCTCACCCGGAAAGTCCCACGGAAAACCACTGTACTGGGATTCCTTTGGGCAAGTCGAAACAGGGTGAAATGTACTTCGAACTCCCTCACATCGATGTAAACTATCGATGTAACACCCCCTTCCAAGTAAATTAGGCTAGGGCGGGCTGTATCACATATTATGTACTGCAATTACTCTACCATACACCGTATAACGATATACGACTTACTACGTACTATATACTATATACCAGCTGCAGGCCATACACCGCACACGGTATACGACATAGTGTCTACCATGTAACATATACATTACGATAACATACTATGTTGCATTTGGTTGCGTGATATCAACACATGGTTGCTGTAGGCGGTGTATAACAAACAAAATAGCATCGAATAGTGTAGAATAGTGTGGTGTGGCACGGCATGGATGGCATGGTATAGTCTAGAATATTTTCCACACTGTACCGTGCTGCGTGAATGCTAAACTCCTAGCCTGATAAGATTGCGCCATGTCACATTATCAGGTTCTATGTATATCATGCTGTGATGAGCTATTTCGCGGTGTAATGTGTTACATTGTTGTGTGATCTCGTGCTATGTTATGCTATCCTATGACATGCTAGGCCACATGGCTACCTTATGTTTTTAAGCTACAACCTGTTGTATTATGCTCTACTGTGAAATGTTCACGCTTCTGCTTCCAAAGTACATTATGTTCTACCCTGTCCTGCTGCGTCGTGCTATGATGTGTCATGTCGTACTATGCTATAAGTTGAAACACTTTGTTGTATTGTGCTGTACTTTGCTACACTATACTGTGTTCGATTATGTGCTATTGCGTCACAGTGCAAGAATGTCGTGCTTCTAAATGGTCTATCAATGGCGGAAGAAAGCCAAATGAAGCTTCTCAAACTGGCGTCGGGCGGCCCGCAACAAGCTCCCCGCTTCCGTTCTCCATCCCACCCTTGCAGCTGCTGAGAAGACGTGAGGGAAACCTGGGTTCTTTTTCAAGGATATAAGTTAAGTTACCCTGATAAGGACATAAGGGTTCCCTTAAGGGATCTATAAGGGTTCCTTTAAGGGTATAAGGATTCAATATTTAAGCTAAGTTACCATAATAAGGAACCGTAATATGTACTATAGATGCCTACTACGTTAACTAGAACTACATTCCTGAACGAGAACCCAGAAACTGTTTCCCTGCTTGCCACCAGGCCATTGCTTGAAGAAGCGCGCCTGCGCAGCAATGCAGGTGCAACTCTGCGCGCATGGGCCCTTTTAGGGGGTCCTTTTTACAAGGGTTCCATACTATTCTGGGGACCTAAAAAGGCACCCTAATCTAGAGACTGACCCATCTTGAACTCATGCCGGTCGATGCCTGGATGAGAAAAACATGGTTCTCGCATTACAGCATGTAGAAGGCAGATGTTGGCTTGCATGCTTGCTAGCGTCTACAACTGGTGCTTGGGTAGCCTGGTTGCCAACAGAAACAGACTTTAGCTGCGGCCACTGCCACCGACACACATGTCAACAAGCAATCTGCCGAGACTTACCCCTTGAGACTTAGCGGAACAGCGCTTCTGAAACCAAGCTTTGAGCTGCTGGTGCATTCCCTGTAAGTCTCCTTCTTAGACCGGCACACGTGCCGGGTTCTTGAAATTGGATCGAAGAATTTCCAGCATGTGTGGCATCGACTGCAGTACGGAATTATAAGCGTGCTTCGTTTCGATTCCGACCGATGCCCGGCCAAAAACCGGCGCTGAAGGGCTGCGCAGCGAATCCACAAGACCCAGCAAGTGCACACGACTGCAGCGCACCAGCGACCGATGTACCAGATCCAGGGCTCTTCTGTCACTTCGCCTCAGCTGTCCAGCTGATTTTGTTTCTCTGGTTCCGAGCTTTCGTTACCACACTGTGGGCCGCGCTGGTGGACTGAACCCAAAGGGAAGGCAGCGAAAAGCCCACCCCAGGCAACGGAGCCTCCTTGGTGCCGAGTTGCAGCGAACTTTGATACAAGTAGAAGGACTGTTTGCACGTGTGCAGTAAGGCGTGGTTTCGCCAAGCTGCCGGAGTGAAGCCGCAGTTCCAAGCCGTGCTGAGTTTCTCCCCCGTAGAAGTCCGCGATGACTTCCTTTTCGTCAATGACCTCTATAAGCTCTGCAATGGTTGCAAACGGGAACACTTTGCGACAATACCTTTGTCATACCTTCCTAGTTCTCAGCCCTCCCAGTAGGGCGAGTATGAGAGCCTCACCCGCTGAACCGATATGGGAGTTTCCGAAAATTGGGGACCCCGATATAGCAGCCTAAATAATAGGATCCTTATGATAAGGACTCCAATTAGTAAGGTACCCCTAATTTTCGCAAACTCCCATATGAAGGAAAAGACTGGAAGACAAGCATCGAAACACCTGCACCCAGCACAAAACAACGGCATTCTTTTGCACACAAAGCAGAGAAGCTGAAGAGACAGTCCCAGACAGCCCAATAACCCTTAATTAAGGAATATAGCTTAAATCATAATATGAAGCCCTTAATGTGTTAAGCCATATTCCTTGACTAAGGTGTTTGGGTATGCCTTGAGAAGTCATGAGAGGTCACAGCAAGCGTCGAAGGAAATAGGCGTCGAAAACCTTAATTGGCCACTCGGCATTCTCTTTCTTTCATTGCCAAAACAAAGAACCTCTACGGTCACGGGGGACAGGAGGCAAGCAAGCCTCCAAACCTTTCAGGGAGACAAGGGCGACACGTGGATTATTAGGGCAGTGGCTACCCCCACAGTTCCCAGAAGTTGGGAGACAACGGAGCACAAATTCTTTAGTTTCGTTCGACCGATTTGCGCCTATTGCCTGACATGGTCTAATCAAATCCCCTTCCAGTGGCTCGCTCCTGACCTGGAAGGGTTTCTTGTCCCATGTGACTGGTTTGCTCCTGTTCTGGTCTTTGTCAGATTCCCAGTCTCTATCGAGCGGTTTGCTGTTGATTTTCGAAGTGCTTAATCTTAATGCCTTTCGACTGGTTCGGCTGTTTCTCTAGACTCTTTCCGGCGGTGTGCTCCTGCGTGTTAAACTTTCTAGTCCCTGTCGCCCGGTTCGCTCCATTGACATCTTCTTTTGATGCCGAATTCGGTATTCTGTAAAACCGGGGCTGCATTCGGCCTTAACCGGGGTGGTGCGAGGGATTGTGGTCTCCCCGCACTGCCATTCCCTTGAATTCTCAAATTCTGCAGTTCTTGCAATCCGGTACCCTTTCAATACTTGATTCGACATCTGTTTAACGCTTGCAAGACCTTGTCGTTCAGCGTCATCGCTAGCTACATGAATAGACCTTGTCTTCCGATCTGGTTACGTCGTTTAATTAGGCCAGCTCTACAACGGCAAACCCCGCCTCAGTGGGATAGGGAGCGATCCGTCCAGCCATTTTCCGCCAGCGCTGTCGGGTCTCTGACGACTCGGCATTCAAGATCTCGGCCACCTGTACGGCTGAACTTCAAAATGTATGTGTATAAATATGTAAATATAAATATGTATATGTATATATGTATGTATATATCTATATCTATATCTATATCTATATCTATATCTATATATATATATATGTGTGTGTGTGCGTGTATGTATATGTGTATCGTCCTCTCTGGGCCCGCAAACCATTAAAGCATCATGACACCCTCGCTTTGCAAGAGAGCTCTAGGAGCGCCTGCATCATAAGAAAGTTACAAGTGTAAACTGTAAACCCGGAACCCCTGGATCCAAAAATCGTGAACCATGGCGAATCTCAAAATCCCGAAGCTAGAATCACAAGCCGCCCTCCCTGCTTAGTCTTTTTTGCCCTGGCGTCGACGCGTGCAAGTGATGTGGGAGCTTCCACATGCCATTTTGCCACAGAGTCTCGTTAATGTGAACACGGCCTGTCGACTTGAAAAACAAAGTCGGAACTCGGCACTCCCTTCTTGGAGATCTTCGAAATGCTCTTCAGTCTCATGCGCATCGGCTTGCCAAGAGACGCCTCCATCAGAACTTGTGGTGGGGCATTGGCGAAGGTGTCTCGAGTCTTTCTCCGTCCGTTCTGCGCGAGATATTTGAGGAAGAGTCGAACTGCTTTTTCGAGTCGAACAGCTTCGTGAGGCTCTTCTTGTACGTCTGTGTCGTCTGAGCTCGCTCCACGCTCGGAGATGTGTGATGTGAGGCAGAGGTACTTGAACTTGTTTTCGTCCGCAGGCGGAAAGTGCTGAAATTGCTTAGGCAGAAGACGCTCTGGAAACATTCGACCCGCTTCGAAGCCGCAATCTTCCACGATCCAGAAGACCAGACACACGCCTGAGTTTTTTGCGAGCTCGCACGGTGTACCTTGCAATGTTTGGAGACTGTGAGACTGTGCTCTAGAAACTGGCTGCCTCAAGAAGGTAATTAGCCGGCCTGTGTGACTCCCCGAAGAGCACACGCAGATTCTGCACCGCTTCCTCTTGAAGGAAGGCCGCCCGTGCCAGTAAGCGGCGCTGCATCCAGACATCATCCCTGGAGGGCTTTCTTACGACACGGATTTGTCTGTCACATGAAAAGGAACAGGGTCGCAACTTGACTGGCTCAGCAGATCAGAGGCCTCTTGCTAGGATGCTGCCGGTCCTCTCGCGGGCATTTTGACTTGCACAGCTTGGGGCTGGGAACGGGACAGCATCGCTGCGGCAGTCGGCTGGATGCTCGGGTTCAGGCACACATCGACTTGTATCTGCGAATCAGCAATCGAGAGCACTTCTGCATTGTCCAAGCACGGGATGCATTCCTTGGCACCCGAGAGCTGCAGGCAAACACTACACTCTGCCTACCCCCAATGTTGACATGACGGCTTCAAGCAAGCCGCGGCCACGGGAACATGTGTCGCTGACAGCCTGAGTTCCCAGAAGGAACTTCAGATTGATGGCATTCTAGCAAATCCAGGAAGGCCTCCGCTCACGCCAAGCGGCGAAGGCGGCGCTCCATCCACTTCAGAGCCTCATCCATCTGGCCTTGCGAGTCGTACCAGGGAACCATGTAGGTACCCAGGCGCTCGCAGAGCCAATGCTGCGGCCCCAGGGCGGACGAGGCCTCCCAGAGAGGCATCGCTCACATGAAAGCCTCGCCCACAGTCCCCTACATGGGAGTTTCCGCAAATAGGGGACCCTAAAATAGTACCCCAAATAGTAGGCTCCTTATTATAAGGCCCCCAATTATAAGGTACCCCTGTTTTTCGGAAACTCCCACATCACACCTCCCTCGCTTCTCCTCGGGTCCTCGCCTGGTCCCCAGCCACTTCTTCCAGCTGCCTTGCCAGCATCTTCAGCGGTGCAGTAGCTGGCAAATGCAGTTTGCCAGTGCCCGGCCTTGCATCTGCTTCGGTGAGGAGCTCTTCCAGCGGCTTGGTGCCGCAAGCCTGCGCTGTGTAAGCAGGCCCCAGGCCAAGCCTCGACTGAGTGAGCGAGCACCTGGTCCAGCAGCTGCAGCCGCAGTCGCAGTTGCTTCTCCGTCTCCTGGAAGGCATATGCACCCGAATAGTAATAGCAGTGGCCCATGGAGGCCACAGACATTCGTCGCGGAGACATGTGTGGATCCACTGAAATCAAGACTCGAGCAAGCCAGCAGCATGCTCGCCGACGGCCCGGGTGCACGCAGAGCAGCACATCCCAGCAAGGTCCTGGCGCCCGTCCCCTCGCAGCTCTGGTTACGGTAGAGCTGGCAAGGCTGAGCTGCTTAAAGCAAGTGGAAGTGCACGAAACGCTGAGAGCAAAGGCCCTTTAAACGGCAGCTGAAGCTTTTCGCACAATCGATTGTAGGGCCAACCTCTGCACGGAGGGCCCCGTTCAACGGCGGGAAAATGTGGCTCCCACCTTGCACCCCGAGATTCGTGCTCTCGAAATCCAGGCAGTATATACAAAGAAGTTCTGTCATTGGCTCTGCTTGCCGCTGTGACGCAGTGCGGGCAGCGGAACCCTCGGCACAGGTCAACAGGCTCTGCACCCGAGGCAGCTCGCTCATCGCCTCAACAGCCATTTCTAAACTAGTACGAGGTACGACGACGTAGTATTTGAACGGATTCAGCAACTCTCAAAAACTGAGTTCCATGCAGCGCTCACAAGTGCAGAGGAAAAGCTTCGTTTTCCGGAGAGATCTCTTCCGGTGAGATGCACTGAACATCAGTGCGTCCTGATTCCACGACAGCGCTGAAAGTACCAGAATACAAAGCCGCAATACTCGTGAAATTCTCTGCACAGCTCCTCCGAAAGATACGAGATGCAAACCTCGTCGCCGACGGAAATGTCCATGCGGGCTCGAACCACCTTGAATCTAATCGCTCGATCAGGCAGTGGCTTCCCACTGAACTCATGCCGACAGCGAAGGAGAGACAACGGAAAGCACGCGAACAAGCGAGCCAAGCTCACATGAAGCGCATCAGCGCCCTCGTGCCAAATGGCATTTGGCTTGCAAGAATGTGACCTTGGCGCGAGGACGTCGCAGCCTGCATCCTTGTTACTAAATGTACTAACCATTCTTAAACATCATACGTCCAACTAGCACCACGAGTTCTACCGAAACATCATATTCTTCCTATTCTCAATATTCCAGCATCTATATAACATATGTATATATGTATATGTGTGTCTAGATATGTATACAAACTTACTTGTGGATGGTTATTCTGTGTACTTCTATGTATACATAGCTATACTACTACAATTACACATTCAATTTTTATTTGTACTCATATTTGTACATATTTATAGTTAGACTCATATGACTCATATGTATGTATTGCTGCCTTCGGATACTAGCCGTGTACTTCATGCATTCTCAGATCGGGCGCATGAAGGAAGAGACAAAGTAGGCGGAGTATCCCTCGGGGCTCTCCGAGTGCTCCTCAGCGTCCCGAAAGAACGAATCTTTGAAAAGAGCCTTCTGCTTAAAAGGCCTTATCCTTTTCTTTACAAGCCTTTAAGTTTGTAGTGGAGGGGGTTAAAGGTGGCCTTTGGAGGTTTAGGGCTTAGGGCCTTAGGGCTTAGGGTTTAGAGCCATCGTGGCGTGAGCTTTGAGAACTTGCAGTGCCGAGGTGCAAAGCAATTCAGAATCCAAAGCCTGGGCTGCCGGGAAGCTGCATGGGTCGGGATCAGAACTTCACTTTACCCTAAACCCTTTTTTTGCATCCGGGCCTCTTGGCCTAAACCCTAAACTCCTAAACCCTTGTTTTAAGCACGGACTCCTAAACCCTTAAACCCTGAACCTCAAGACTTCTGTCTCAAAACTGGACGGGGCAACCTTAGGAGCTCCTCCACCTTCACCGGAGACACCGCCAGCCCCAGCTCCGTTACCATGCTCTCCACGGCGGCGCCTCACTCTCCAAGCGATTCTGTGCTGCGAGAGCCCCGAGAGAATACCGAAACTGCTGCGCAGCGTCTGGCTTCGGAGACAGGCTCATGATAAAGGCACAGGAGCTGCTTTTGTTGGTCTCTCCTTGGCTTCACTGACTGCAAGGGCTTGCGCGGCTGCTGGGGAAGGAGCGACATCATCGCCATGAACTTAGCCGTGCTGCGACACTGGTTTCAGACGCCCCACCTTTGGAGGTGTTCTTAGATCGTCCGCTGTCAGCGAAGAAAAAGCTGCCCAGTACCACAGAGGGTTGTAGGCTACATCCTCAGACAGAGTCTTCAAACAAAGATGCTCTTTTGTGAGCTGCGGGAGTGTTCAGCACGACAGCACAGCCAAACTAAGTGAAGGAACATCGCGCTTCTCACAGATCTGCCTCACCAACTTGAAAGCCTCGTTGCCCTCATCCACCTGCACAATATGTAGCGGAGGTTCCTGGCTCAACCGCCACAAACCCACGAGGCCATGAGGATCACTCTCAAAGCTTCCCAGCTCTCCTCGAAAAGTAGGTCTCCTCTCTTGAAGAAGCACTTGGCCCTCAAGATCCGTCCCTTGCCTCAGCGGTTCGCAAGAGCTCATGCTTTCATTAACCTGAGCATTTCAGTCCCGGGTTCTCTCCGATAGCTCGCCTTAGCTGTGCATCTGCTGACAAAGCTGGGTGGCAGATGTTGAGGAAGAAACACTTCGGCCGAGATGCACTCCACTTTCCCGTGCAATAGCTGCCGGCAGCGCAGGTTGATGAAGTCCACGGACCACTCTTCCATGCGTCAACTTACGAAAATGAGGTGCCACGCCAAATGCTTTGCCAACGAAACCTCATCGGAACCTAATCATGCTTGGATGCAAGGGTGCAGAGTACAAGTGCACGCCAAATATGTTGGCTGTTGGCAAAGCTTGAACCCTAACAGGCAGCATCAGGCAAACATCCGACTGAAAAAGCCAACCACGCAGGAGGGTCATTCGGCATTAGGTGCCTGAATAGGAGGATTGGAGCTCGGTGTGGCCAGATGCAGTCACGACTTACATTGCAGGGAGTACACAGGAGGAATATTTCCAAACATGATTCTCGAGGCTGCTACAGCACCCGAATCCACCTCTGCCACCGTCGTGAAGAAGCTGGGCAAGAGCGACAGGACTACCTGGTGAACACCGCACGGCCCAGGTTTCAGGAAGTTTCTCGCTAAGCTCCTGGGAACACATGGCCGGTCAAGGCCGGGGAACAGCTGGATCTGGCTGCAAATCGCCATCCGGGAGGCAGATCTCCTCCGAGGAGTTCTCTGGCATCGGTGGCTTCGAGAATTTCTCTCAAGTGCATAACAATAGCAATAAGAATAAAATTAGTAGTAACAGTAACAGCTGTAATAGCAATAATTGTCAAATTAATAGTAGTAATAGTAATATCAGTAATAATCGCAATAATGGTAATAATAACAATAATAGTAATACCAGAAATAGTAGTCATAATAGTAATAAAATCAAGAATCATGTACACCAAGCATGGCTCCTCGGCGCAGTCATCTCCGTCGTGCAGGTATCCATCTTGGCCCAAGTCGAGATTGCATTCCTGCAATCTCTGTCTTGTTCAAGCTTACGGCTTCAGATCACAGGGCAAAGGATGCACCAGTACATACACACAAAAAAGCGAAAGCAGCGTCCCAAAAGCGAGCGACGCCAGCCAGGAAAGGCCAGGAGGTCTCCGCAAACTTCAAGCTGCCGGAATATCTCCAATACCTGCAGTTGCGGCAAGTTGCGGCACATGAGACTCTTACACACAATGCCACCAGGCAGCAGTATGAATGGGACCGCTGCAAAGAGACCTGACAGTAACAAGCCGGACATGCTGCTACAACACGATCAAGGCATGGACTGCAAGGATGGAACGTCAATTCAAATAATGGGTATATAAGAGCTTTTTAAGGTTATCTGCCTAGGGGTCCTTGTTCAGGGTCCCTCCTTTTAGCCTTGGATCAATATGACATCTTGGCATCAACCCCGGCAACTCCAACTGCCAGCCATGAGCCAATCTGCTTTTGGGCGAGGTCTCCTCCACCAACACCTGCTGCGTGAACCCCATTTGGCAGGATGTGTGCCTCAGCTCCGCTGGCTCGTGGTAAATGGACAGAGATGCCTCCGCGCTGTTTGAGCGCATGTCCCGGATCGACCTTCCACTTTGATCCACTTTGTGCATTGTCACCGGTGGGTCTCAGTGCATCAGTGTGCCACCCGGAGCACCGATGGTGTTTGGATTCAGAAGCCTCCCAGAGCTACATGTAGAGTTTGTCAAAGTTGCCATTCCACGGCCCATCTTTTTGAGAAAAGCTGATTTGAGCAAGTTTATGTGCGTGCACCGTTGCGCACGCGCTAGCTGCAACTGGAGCCCATCGGGGCAACTGTGCTCACTGTGCTACCTGGCTGCTGCTGTCCCACATGCACAAAAGACCCGATTACCACTCTGATTTTCTCCTTGCAGGCTTTTTGGGAAGTACATGTCAATTTTCTCCAAAGGACAGACAGGGCTGCCCTGCTGCCGCGTTGCCGGAAAAGCCAAAGAGTCCCGGCACTGCGGATACAACTCTGAAGCCATCCGACGGGCTGCCTCATGAGATGGGTCCAAGAAGGCAACGGCTGCCACAGCAATGCTGGTTTCATCATGATTCCACGATTCAGTTGTTGCAGACAAGCTTCCGGCACAAAGTCCACAACAGCTCGAAAGTACGGCAGGAAGGCCTGCAGGAGAGAGCGTAGGATGTAACCATTGTCATTCATGTTAACACGAACGATCCGTCGGCCTCCATGTGGTTGGCTGCAGCTGCATTGTAGTAGATCGCCTTCGTAGGTCAGAAAATGTCTACAATCTACAGCGTGACGCTGTCCGAAGCGTGCTTCCTGCTAGTTGCTCACATTCGGTGCACATGCACGATGTCCAGTGGATGATTTTGCTTCGTGCTTTACGCAATTGTTAGTCGCTTCTGGTGTTGTCTCCTGCTGCACAAGATCTGCTCGTGGAATGTGGGCTGAAGGGTATCAATAGCCGGGGAGGGGCTGGGACAGTGAGACACAGGAACGACCGTGCAGCCAAGCAAATCGAAATGCCCCTGAGTCCGACATGTGCTTTGCACTCCGAGGGGCCTCTGCATTGTAGTTTAAGGTGATATCACCTGCCCAGAGAACCTGCGCAGGTGAAAGGGCCATAAAGGACCACTCCTCAAACCCTAAAGCCTGAACCCAACCTCATCGTCCAGCACGAACGGGCCGAATAAACCAGGAGCGGAGCCAGCCCAAGAAGAGATGCGAAGAAGATACTGGCTCATATACCAGTGGAACCTTGCTCAAGGCATTTTGGGCTTCGGATCTGGGGAGCTCAGGGTACAAGAAGTAATAATAATAGCAATAGTAATTGTAACAGTAGTAATAATAATAATGATAATAATAATAATAATAATGATAATAATGATAATAATAATAATAATAATAACAATAATAATAATAATAATAATAATAATAATAATAGTAATAGTAACCGAGGATTGAGGCTCCACGACCGAGAGCCAGCTCGGATGAAAGGCAACAGGACCAGCCTTTTCGGAAGAGGTGCTTTGTCAAGCCCGATCATCTCGGAGGTCTTCAAGACAGGCATCTTTCGATGCGTTCATGCTTCAACTTCACTCGAGCAATGCTTCGAAGCTAGTGCGTTCATGGTATCCAGATCTGCCATCTGCATCGCTTGCTTGATGACTGCGAAGTACAGTACTGCACTGCCTTTCGAGGCTCGAGCCTCTGAAAGTATTCTCCCGATAATGTGAGCAGGTGTTAACCTACAGAGTTGCTTCAGGCCGACGAATCATGGATCGAACTGGATCGAAATAAGTAGTCCCGCCTGGCGCCTGCAATCGATTTCACCTTCCCAGGCTGATACCCCGGAAGCCCCGAAGGCGTTATCCGCAAAGCAAGGCGAGAAAGGGAAACGCTCAACTCGAGAATTCGGATCTCTGTGCGCGGCCTGTGCCGAGCGATCAAGAGACCAAAACTAGCGCAGCTCCTTGTCGTTCCCTGAGCCCTAAGCCATCCCAAGAGATCCCAAGCCATCCTAAGCCCCAAGCCGGCGTGAATCCTGCCACCCCAGGCAACACGACCACAAACACAGAAAGCCCCTTTCAGACCCTGACCTTCCATAAATCATAAAACGGGGCCTTGTGCAGGTGAGCGGCATCGTCACAGGCGAGTCTGGGATGACGAGGTAGGACCTTGGCTCCAAACAACGTGAGTCCCAAAGTTAGACCCAACGGGCTCCCGGAAGCCTAGGCATCAGAAAGCTCCACATGAATCCAAGGCACCGATCCCAGAAGGATGCCCAAGATGCCAAGTGAGTGGCCTCGGATCGAAACACACAGTTCTTGAAAAATACCAAAATGCAGTGAGACAAGCAGTGCTTTCGGTAAGTTGCCGTCTATAACGAGTACTTAGCTTCCTGTGTTGCTCGCGCAAGCATGCATCAGTCTCGGCACCAAATCCCCCTGGTGCCGCCACGCAGCTCGAAGCTGAGGGGAGGTTGGCCTAGGCCCAAGACACAAAGCAAAGAAATCCCAAAAACCACCAAAGAAAAACAAGCGAGCTCAAACGGAAGAAGCCTTGCAAAGCCAGAAACCCTCTCTCTCTCTCTCTCTCTCTCTCTCTCTCCAGGGCACTCTCTCTCTCTCCAAGCCAGAAACCCTCAACCCTCGAAACCCCAGCCTTGGTTCACGTCTCCGGCGGTGTGGCTGGAGTTCGGCGGTCCGGAGTTCCATCGCGGAGTCCCTGTGTTTCAGTCCGGTTTCTCGGCCTCTCGTGTCACGATGTGTCCCCGTGTAGTTGGCGTAATTGTTGCTTTGTGTTGAGTTGTTTGTCGTTTCGTCGTGTCTCGGTGTCTCTGTGTTCCAGTGTACCCGGGCTTGCCGGCATCTTGCAAATCTTTTCTGCAGGCAAGCACGCACAGAACTCACTCCAGCGACAAAGTCGTCTGACTCTGGTGCTCAACCACCCAGGAGGTGATGAACACTTGAGATTGCGTGGCTTCATTGCGGATGTGTTTTTTTTCAATTGGGGTCTCGAGCGGACTGCATGTAGATCAACCCAGAAACACTTCCACCTCTCGCAACACACCAATGGTGCAGCACCGATCTACATAAATGCACCGAAGCTGCAGTGGCCGAAACCTTATGATGCGGGCTTCATCGATACAGCGACAGCAGGCAGACCCAGTCAATGCCGTGTCATGCTGCGTCGGGCGCACCCCAATATTGCAACGATTGCGGGAAAGGGGCTCTGGCGTTTCTGTGAGGGTCCTCTGGCTCATCTGCAGCACCAGTGTTGCCGTCCTGACACATGGGTCCCAGAACTCGCTGACCCGACACACTGGAAACCTGACCCTTACACGTGGCAGCTGACTGCAAAGCCCAGGATCCCAGGCTCTGTTCTCCAAATGCCCCTAGCACAGGGCCCACGGAGATTGCCTCCACATTGCCCCATCGCCTGACAATGACCCAACCGGCGAGAACACGTTGGATGATCGCGACTTCGTTTTGTAAATAACAACGCTTTGATTACCGCCTCAGCTTCCAGGAAGGAAGAGCTGTGAACGGACCCAGCGCCAGCAGCTTGCAGCAGCGTCGCCTGGAAACCAAACCTAAGCTAGAGCTGGCTAGTATGCCAAACAGCCTGCGGTCGCGAATGCCAGCGCAAAGTCCAAGTGCAACCAAGATGCCACTGCACAGGATAATGCTTGGCCTCATGCCGCTCGGAGAACAAGGAGCTAATGGAGCTGGAGCGACCTACCTACTGACTTTTGCGTGGAAGTCGTGTCCGTGCCGGCGCACAGGATGCCAGCCGTCATGTATTCAGCTGCCGAGGCTGTTCCTTCAACCCTTCTTCGAACGCCAAGATGCTTGAAAATGCCAGCCGTTTGCGCGCGAGACCCTCAGGAGTTCCGGAGCTGCTGTCACCTCCGAGGGAAGTCGGTCGGAACCAGCACCTTGTGGCAGCACCCTATGTTGGAAGTGCAAGGAACGATTGGGAGAGAGGTGGAAAGAAAAAACACAAGGGCTGTGGTGGAATTGTGCCAGTGACACATCCCTCTAAACACTGCGAAGGGTCCACCATTGACATGCTACAGATCCAAAAGTCTAGCTGCCAGCAGTTGCCAGCTACACGTGCAAAGCATCGACAGAAGGAATTGGCTTTGACTCTTAACAGTCCGAGCACACGGCCCGTCGTTTTCGTCACCGGCTTCCCCCCCTGGCCCACAAGTGCACAAGAAGTCCGGCCGACAAAACTGGTGCTCCGTGAATGCACAAATGCCAATGGGCAGAGTCCTTACCAGCAAGATTTCGGATTGGTCTGACGCTCGATCTGCGCGAATTTATGCTATGCCGACAATGCCAGCCTTCACACTGGTGCTTGGTGAAATCGGAGGCCGAGCTGGGCCGTTGCAGCCAGAGAAAGTCCACAAGGTGACTTCCACCTTCGCACAACTGCAAAGATTCAGACTATGCCGGAGGAGGAGGAGGAGGAGAAGGAGGAGGAGGAGGAGGAGGACAGCAGCGCTGTAGAAGAACGAAGCAGCAGTCGTACTAGCAGCAATGCCAGCAGCGGTAGCAAGTAGTCGAGTATTTAGGTAGTAGGTCGTCGGTCGTAGATGGTAGGTGCTCGGTGGTAGATGCTGGGTGGTAGGTGGTAGGTAGTTGGTAGTAGGTTGTAGGTAGTAGGTAGTACGTAGTAGGTACTAGGTAGTTCGTAGGAGTCGTAGTAGTAATAGTCGTCGTCGTCGTGGTAGCAAGAGTAGTAATTGCAGCAGCAGCAGCAGCAGGAGTAGTAGTAGTCGTCGTCGTGGTAGTGGTAGTGGTAGTGGTAGTGGTAGTGGTAGTGGTAGTGGTAGTGGTAGTGGTAGGAGTAGCAGTAGTACTAGTAGGAGTAGTAGTAGTAGTAGTAGTAGCAGCAGCAGCAGCAGTAGTAGTAGTAGTAATAGTAGTAGTAGTAGTAGTAGTAGTAGTAGTAGTAGTAGCAGTAGTAGTAGTAGTAGTAGTAGTAGTAGTAGTAGCAGTAGCAGTAGCAGTAGTAGTAGTAGTAGAAGAAGTAGAAGTAGTAGTAGTAGTAGTAGTAGTAGTGGTGGTGGTGGTGGTGGTGGTGGTGATGGTGGTGGCGGTGGCGGTGGTGGTGGTAGTAGTAGTCGTCGTCGTCGTAGCAGTGGCAGTAGCAGTAGTAGTAGTTGCAGTAGCAGTAGCAGTAGCAGTAGCAGTAGCAGTAGCAGTAGCAGTAGCAGTAGCAGTAGTAGTAGTAGTAGTAGTAGTAGTAGCAGTCGTACATAGTAGCACCAGCAGTAGTAGTAGCCGTCGTCGACGGCAACGACTACACGATTACGATTGTTGATGTTGTCGCTGCTGCTGCTGGGCGTTGCCTTAGTATTTGATGTTCATGTTGTTGCTGACGCTTTTGTTGTTCGTGGCCATTATACAGCCATGGAAAGGACAGCAGCAGCAACAGCCGCAATACTACTCGTCGTCCTCCTCAACCTCGTTGCTGCCGTCGCAGGTCGCGGTGATGCTGGCGGGTGGCACTGGTGCCGATCCGTGCGGGATAAGGGGCGGTAGGGCGACGGGTGCGGCAGCGGTATAGTGGTCGTGGTGGCATTGGCGGTGGCATTCGTGGCGATGAGGGCCATGGTGGTGACAGCTGTGGCCAGCGGTGCTGGTGGTGGTGCGTGGCATGGTGACGATCCGGTGTTGACAGCGGCCCTTATTCTTGTCCTTGCAGGTGTAGTTGCAGTATAAGTAGTGTAGCCCCTTGTAGCCGCACCAGTTGAACCAGGCGGTTTCGGAGGACAGGAGGAGCTGGAAAACAACAAGAAGGCTTCAACAAGTGCAACAAGCGTACCACCAAGTTCTGACAAGAACCCGACGAGACTACACTACCCTGCTACACACCGCTGAACACCAATTGCTGTTATGACTACCTGAAACTACAAGCCAATGAAGCTGATGTACAGGTGTCAAACCGTGTTAACGACTGGAATTTGCCACGTGTTTGCTAGGCGACACAGCAAGGGAGAAGCCTCCTTTCCTGCTCCCGCGGCCAGCCTCACTGCCAACATCTGCCTGCAAGTCGAGCAACATTGCATTCTCGGTTGAATGGACGAAGGCGCCTGACAGGGTCCATCGAAACCCAACCACGACGGTAACGCTGCACAGACTGCTGAGAAGCTCGCTCACCGTTCGTATTCCAGTCCTGAGCACGCTGGGAAACTGAAACAGTGATTTCTCTTCGTGCGCTCGCCACTGATCGCTCCCTAAGCTCGACACGGCAAAGCCACGTGCAAGCGAACGGTGCCGTTGGCTGCCATCTGCTCTCCACGAACCACTTGCCCAGGGCTGGTCAGAAACCTCCGCTGTGTGTCAGTAAGGCTAGTGAGCCTAGCTTGGCACTCCTTCTCCTTCTTATGACAACACCGGACTGCCACCGAGATGCCGTACGGAAAGTCCAGCAAGCGCCTGCACACTTTCAATGTCTGAACCGCAGGCTTGCTTTCCCCCAGGGTTGAGGGGTTGGGGCTCCTGGCAACTCTCGAATGTTGAACAAGTTCCAACGAGGAGTGAGAACTTTCGACCTGTCGTCGGGGAAGCCGCAAGTGCAGGGAATCATCTTCTGATTTCATCCCAAAAATCACTGCCTCGCACAAGCGGGGAGTGCACTCCGACGCTTAGGCTGTATCTTCCCTGCACTGGCCACACTTAAACGTACTGGACATCCTCGGCCAAGGGCTGGGTTTCGCCCGCCCAGGCCAAGGATTTTTCGTAGAGTTCTGACTGCATGGACTCCGTGAATCCATGCATCGTCATCGGGTGCTCCTCACCTGAGAAAACATCTCAGGCTTGGAGACTCGACGATGATAAACTACAAAGTGTGACAAGACCACAACTCAAGACTCAGCCGGCCGCAGGCAAAGGTTCGCGAGTAGTAAGCTCCACTCCTGGCGGAGACTTTAGAACGGCTCGAACTGGACATATCGGCATGCCAAGTGCCAAGCCCTGCCACTTTACAAACTTCTCCCCAGACTGACGGACTGCCATCTCGCAACAAATGTAACTTGCAAACAAGATGGGCATCTCCCGACGCTAACACGTCCGTTATGGGTCGTTCAGCCGTCTCCTGATGTTGCCCACTGCACAATGTGCGATAACGGCAGCGCCTGAGCAGGTCCGCGGCGCGTCTCTGGCCCAGTGTCACAGTAATGCACACCCCTCCTTCGTCGGCAGAGAAGGGGCAGCTATTTGCGGGGAGATCTGGGAGCGGGTGCACCTGCTGCTGGCAGACCGCCTGCGAAGGCTCCACCAGAAAAGGGAGGAGCAACAGTCGGGCAAGGTGCTTCAAGCCGGAGCAGACCGATATATGAATTCAATCTTCATTGCGCTGCACATCTTCTACCACGGGCTTCTACCACCTACTTTACCACCTGTGTTGGTTGAATTGCTGCATGCTATTGTGTTTCGTTCTTTTCGTTGACTTTTGCTCAGAATCTCGCCTGCGAGCACGGTCATCCCTTCTGAAGCCATAAAAACCGTTCAGCTTTTGTTCATGCGGGGCCTGCATGCACATGTGCGTCGTTGACGAACCATCCAGCAAGCTGTGTGCTTGAACCAATCTTGATACGCTGTTGGTACTACGGAAGGTCGACTGCCTTCCCAAGGTCTGCTTGCAGCTAGACACACATTGACCCACATGGCCTGGAATCTGAAGTATTGAAGGGCGGGCTGCATTATGTGTTTCTCAGCAGAAATGAAGGTTTGACTTAGGACAAGCCCAACATCAGCAACACCTGCAAACCAAACCGCCCGGCTGGGCTCAACTGCCTACCTTGACGAAGGGGCTGTGGAGGTCAACCTTCTCCGTGAGCGAGGTTAGGGCGAAGCCAGGTGTGAGTGAAGAGGCCTCCCACGAGGCACATCCATGTGGAGAATGCCGGCACGTAGTGTGAAACTATACTGCACATGAATTCTGGCTGAAGCTTTGGGTTTTCCAAAACAACAAAAATCTTGGCTGGCCTCCACACCATTTCCTGACTCCCTTCTTGCCAACTCAGCCGCATGCTGTATTTGCAAGAACTTGGCGACGCCGTAGTTCGAGGAGTTCTGCTGGTATGTGCCTGTTCAGCTGGCAAGCGTGGTTCTGGGTGGTTGTCAGAATTAGGGCCCCTTTTTGGGTCCTTAACATAATACGGCACCTAATATTTAGGGTGCCCAAAAGAGGAACCTGAATTTTTGGATTCTAGATCATTTTAGTAGAGCACGCTTAAGCCTTAAGTCCAACCCCACCAACAGCCTGAGCGGCTGTGAATCGTCACAGGCTTCTTCGAAACGACGGGCGGTGGAAGATGCGAGAAGTCATGAAAGCAGTCTCCCGGCAGGCCGATTGCTTCACAAGCATTTTCACTCGCCCCGCTTGCAACGTTCACGACCTGATGGGCGGGAGCAACGTGTTGAGTCACTATACTCTTCAGTGCAGCCCCGCCGGAAGCCAGGATTTTGCAGGCACGCACCCTGGAAGGTCGTCCACGCCGCAGTGCCGGGAGCAGCAGTTCTGTCAGCAGGAATGGACCCAAGTAGTCCACCTGAAAACTGCAGCGGTACTGCATCATGGGAGCTGACGTCACTACTTGCACAGTGTACTCTTTCAGAATGCCGGCCAACCACTTCGATCTGAGCACAGCACCTGGAAAACCAGCTCGAAACCATCTTGGCTCAAAATGCTGGGGGCACCTGCACTGAGCGCTAGACCGACGACAGCACTCAGATGCTAGAGACGCCACGTGAGTCAGCACATCCTCTCTTAAATCATGCACCTGGATTTAGGCTCGTCACAAGGCCTTGGGCCGACACTTTCTTCCATACATTCCTCATGCCTCCTTTATCTGGACGCCTTTTACCCTCTACTCCCCCACCCTGGAGGACCCCTCATGGACGCCTTCGCGAACCTGCCTGGAAGACAAACGGCTTGGGAACTTGTTTTTTTCCAAAGTCCCAGTGCTCAAACGTCCTCTAGGTTTTGCCTGGTTCCTGCTTACTCCAAAGCTTGCGAAAGAAGCTCGGTCAAAAGGTGCCTATTCCCGCATCGTTCACCAGCAAGTTCAGCGTCTCGCCATATTTCTCGTAGAAGCTCCGGGCAAACGAGCGAACGGATTGCAGGGATCCCAGGTTCAGGGGCAACGCATCCTGGGACAAAGCTTTCAAGTCAGTCTCAGACCATAATTAGAGAAATCCTCTGTGGAGAGTTCATACACAAGCCAGCCGGATCCGAGCGTCCACGCTGGCTCCAGTTGCCTTTGAAATGTTTTGCGCCGCAAGCTCGCCTCTAGTGATGTTGTGGTTGCCAATGACAACCTGCCCAGGAGAGGCAAGTTGCAGTTGGCATCGACATGCCCCGAAAAAGTTCCCATTGTGCAAACATATACGTTCAAAGACATGATATAGACGACCCATGTAAGCCTAAATGCGCATAGTCTTAGCTTATGTATTTGTCTATCCATCTTTCTACCTGTCTACCTATCTAGCTACCTCCTATCTAACTTCTTTACATAGACCTATGATGACCTATGCATAGAACACTTATACGACATGTAATACGATACGCTGTACATTTACGAACATACAATTCTCAAACATACACGTATGTATATATATGGACGAAGTGCTACTGATCTCTGCTGGCGCAGGAGTTGCCTTGGCTCCATGCTTCGCCAGTGTAAGCGCAGTGGCGTATCCAAGGCCGCTGTCACCACCAGTCACGACGGCAAGCTTCCCAGTCAGGTTAGATCCTTCCAAGCACAGCAGCAACAGCAGGAAGAGGAGGAGTAATAGTCGTCGTCGTCACCGTCCTCGTCGTTTCAGTCGTAGTTGTAGCTGTAGTGGTCGTCGTCGTCGTCGCCGGCGTCGTCGTCGTTGCAGTAGAAGTAGCAGCAGCAGCAGCAGCAGCAGCAGCAGGAGCAGGAGCAGGAGCAGGAGCAGGAGCTAGACAGCAGCAGTAGCAGCAGTAGCAGCAATAGTAGTGTAGTAGTAGTCGTCGTCGTCGTCGTGGTGGTGGTGGTGTAGATCCACTCCAAAGTGACGGCGACAGACACTTCCATCATATGATGAACCTTTGATGCTCGCCTGCCAGGACATCGTCGGCAGTTGTGTTTCCCGGACATGGCCAGCCAAGCCTAGAAGAACGAACACATGCACAGCTGCACCAAGGCATGTGCAAGTGTGTAACATGCTGAGGTGCTGGCAGACCTCGTGCGAATGATGCCACAAGAAGCAGCCGCAACATGGCTCGGAACTCAGGCTTACAGAAGCAGCTGCAGGCCAACGGCCAACGGCAAAGGAAACCCAAACTCTGGCAAAACCCGCATGTTGGGTCTCGCCTCGGGTGCCTACTTGTACTGGAAATAGGTTCCAACAGGACAGAGTTGATGTGTGCGCGCGTGATTGTGATTGTACATGCGTGTATGCACGTACGCACATTCGCATTTGTGCGAACTCATTTACATATGCACGTATGAGGCGTGCATCAATGCATGTATGTGTAGGCATGCATCGGATGCATGAAAGAGCATTAAATGTTTGAATGTGTGTGTGCTTCATGTCTCAAGTGGTATGTTGTATAGTTGTGTCCAGCACAGCTTGCGTGTGACTGTGAAGGCGAAGTACTGGTACGAATGAACGGCGTGCATGCAGACGCACGTTCATTCATTTGTGACCATACTGCGCCCAAGATGAGCACGTACCAGTCGCAGTTGTCCTGTACAGAATGTTATCATGTAGTGCGGCGTTTTTGTTCGTGCAAGTTGCTGTTGAAGCGTCTTACAACCTGCAATGCTTTGAAACGATTGCGATGTCGGCATCATGTTCCCAAACGGTCAACACTACCTAATGAAGGTCAGACGTGCTTGACACTTACTGTACGACCTTGCCTTGCGCCCTCCAGGTGCGTATCCACACGAAGTCGTCCCAGCGACAGGGGCAGCAAAGAATGCATTGTGTCCAATGTGTATATTGATCCTGCAACAAGCATATGACAATGTGCATGTGCGTGGCATTCGTCGTCAAGTCCAAATTTGCGACATCGAGCTGCTCTGGAGATGATGTTGGCCAAGCCAGCGCCGCACCGAGATCACCATTGCCTGACTCGTGAATTGTTTTGGGAAGGTTCGCTAAAGCAGAAGCTGCAAGACAAAGGTCCAGCTTCGCCTATCAGCGGGCCATCTGGAAGTCCTGGCTGCCACCAACAGGACCGTGACTAACTTCGATAGTCCACATGGCCTTTGCTGGGAACCTGCTTCGGTGGCGTGGTCCAAACACCAACAATATCATCCACAGGATGGTACCCACACGACGAACCTGACCCACACGGATGGTGTAATGGTGCTAGTCTGACCATTTACAAGCACGTGCAACACGAGCTTGCGCTGGGGTACCCACAGAACACGGTCGCCGCAATCACGATCCATGCACTGCTCATTGCTCATAAGTGAATGATGTATAAGTGAATGATGTGCTAGTTAGCTCGTGAAACTTCGCCACATGCTGATATGGGAGTTTCCGACAATAGGGGACCCTAATCTAGTACCCCAAGTAGTAGGATCCTTATAAAAGGACCCCAAAACAAGGTACCCATAGTTTTCGGAAACTCCCAGAGGACTGTAGACTCCGAGCCTGGTCAGTCATAGCGGGTCGATTGAACCTTTTCCAGCGACCGCTGCTTCGGGTTTAGGGTTTAGGGGTTAGGGTTTGGGGTTTAGGGTTTAGGGTTGCTCCAGTGCTTGAGCCGGGCAAATTTTCAGGCTTCCAAAACATAGACGCCGACACCTGTTACCGCCAAGTAGCTGAAACAACATCTAGCAACCTGACACTTCCTCGTGGTTCGGAACATGACTGCACAGGGGTCTTTTTCCCGAACATTCGCAGCTCTATTGTGTCGGGATCACGTCGACGCAGAAGGCACGACCTGCAGAATCCAAATTCTCGGAAGAATCGCCACAGCAATGTTCGACCGAATATGACCACATCTCCATTCCCAACACACCGTGCGCACACACACACACACACACACACACACCGGCGCTTGCTGCTGAAGGCCAGCCCCAAGTGGAGTTCCGGAGAGACCATCTTAGCACCAGGATCCATTGCTAGCTTTGGGACTGATAGGAGTAAGTGCGAGGAACTACCAGTTGAAACACAAGCATCAAAACACTGGCTCCGCAAGCCAGCTTCGGCTCCCTTAGAAAGCCCTCAACATGCTTCAACAGTTCTTCCCCAAACTACTCGCAGAGAAGCCTCGTGTCATTTTGGCGGCGGCCGTGCTGTCGTCCATGTGGCTAGCACGAGGAAGGATGAAGGGCGAGACGACCAGAGTGCAGGGCTATGGGCTCGCAAGCTAAAGGGTTGACGGAAAAGTGTTTCAGATGGTGTAAGGCACTCCACGGGATGAAGCGGGAAGAAAGCGAGAGCGCTCTGCTTGAACTGGCCAACAACAACATGCGAAGGTCAAGAGCATGGCCCGCGCCCGATGTGCAGCGCTAAGCAGCTGGATTTTGCCGCCACGCGTAAGATTTTGGGGGTCGGCTTTCGAATCTGGCTCTTCTGCCAGGCCCCTCGCTCCGTCCTTCTTCCTACGGTCTGATACGTCCTTGCTTTGCGCTGCCACTTTGCATGGAGGCCTAGAGTGAGGGATGAATGCCGGACAGAGGCCCAGCAGTTACCTTGTGCCGAGCTGTACATGAAGCGTGCATGGCAGCCGTCTGTTTTGGCCGGCCGTGGGCTTTCTCATCCTGGGGAAATCCACTTCAGTAAAGTTCGAGAAACTTTGTATCACGAGACATGCACAAACCCAGGTCATCCTACAGACCGCACTCGCCTTGCAGACAGGCGAAACGCCTGCCAAGCATCCAGCCCCTCACGTGAAGGCATCAGACGTCGATTTCACGTCCATAAAATGACGATATACTCCGCTGTACAGGGCTTTGCAAGCGACAGATTTTGTCGGCGGTGCTGAAGAACCATGCAAGGCAGCCAAGTGTTTTGGAGCGCTATGCATGTTTTAGGAGTGTCCAAACGCGACACGAGATAGGAATGCACAGCAACTCGCTAAGACCATAAGAACTACAGGAAGCCTCCTCCCCCCAGAGTATATCACTATACACCCGTTTCGCGAGACACTAAGAGGCAAAATGCACACCTCGCCGCATCCTTCCCCATGCTTTTTGATACGTTACTCCGTGCTGCCACTCCGCATATGGAACAGGAAGCACGCGGCGAACAAAGGACAGATGCTTTGAAGCACGTCCAACACAGCAGTTGCAGTTTCGTCGAGCTGTACAAGAAGGAGCGGCCAGCCATTCATTTTGGAGCGCTCCAAGGTTGCATACAAGTGAAACGGCAGAGAGCCAAGCACTGCAATCCTCTCACATTTAAGTGTCTGTGAAGGCATGAAGCGTAAAGTTACTTCACGTTCGAAGTGGCAGATGACGCTTTGCCAGTGCCAAGAGCCATGCAAGGCGGCCAAGTGGTTTGTAACTCCGTGCATGTTTTGGGGATGCTCACCAGCATCGCGAGTAAGTAAACCAGATCGCTAAGACCGCTGCAGTCGACCACAAGACTTACAGGAAGCCTCGGCCGCATGCAGCGCTTGGATAACCATGTCACGCACTGACTGTGGCTTCAGCAAAGAGATTCTGTCGACTTTCAAGCACCTGCTTCTTTTTCGGGTCCGGCACCATGGTGACCAACTCAACGCAAGCATCTGCAAATGCAACCTTCTCTTTGACCTGGACGGAAGCGCTGCCCGGGTTGTGAAGCCGACAGCCACAAGGTTGAAGCTCTTCGCTCGCAGACTTGTACAAGACCCAGCGCTCTGCAGTGCATCGTTGCTGCATGATGGTGTCTTCAACCTCCTCCGTCCGCAATCCGATGTACCACATCCTGTAGCCAAGGACTCAGCGACTGAAGAAGCTTTACCATGAAGATTTTACTTCACTAAACAATGCTGACTTGCCCAGCATCGATGCGTGAACAGCCCACGCGTCGTCTCGACAGATATTTCTAAAGATCTTGCAGTTCTCATTCTTCCGGGCATCATACAGGACGTACATTCCATCTAAATCTGAGTCTTGCTTGTCCGCCTCGCTGCTGCACAGGCGCACACCCTCAAGCACCAGCAAATCACCCACGAATCCGTCACGATGGAGAGGGAGACCATGGTCGGCAAACCACGTAGCAAGGCGCTTGAACTCTTCTGGACTAGCATCTCGAAAATGCTTCAAGATCACTCCGAAGGCCCAGAAAGTGTTTACAGGGTTCACATCCTTCGGCTCCAGCCCTACGTGAAAGTCCAAAGCTTCGCCAACCTGCCCATGCTGTAGGGCTGCGATGAAGCTCTCCTGACCAGGAACGCAGGAGGCTGCAAGAAACCCTTAAGACAGACGAAGACCTGGTTTACCAAATTCAAGCCAGAGCTTCCATCGATGGGCTGCAGCCGAGCTCATCACGCTGTTTCCGGATCATTTCCAGCGGACAGCTCTGCTCGAAGGCGACAGCCAGGACCGACTTCGCGCACAGGCAATTCTCACGAAGAACTGCATCCTGCTCAAGTTGTGGAAGTCTCTTCGGTAGGGCGGTGCAATTACAGCTTGGAATTGTCACCACATCCCCCGGTCGTACGCAACCTTTCAAAGCGTACCCGTAGCTCCCCTTCTCTCCCCAACATGAGGATTCAATGCCATCGCCAGAAAGTACACAAGTATCAGGGCTTAAGGCAAACTCTGCAAGTTGCAGGCCCGCTGCCCGAACCTTTCCTGTTCAGCTGAACCTGTCGATTGTGCACAGAACAGCAACCCAAAGTTGCCCTGCGCCGGGAGCCTAGCTTGCCACATACCCTCATTCCTCCCACTCCCTCCCAGCTGGGCATCCCCGACATCCGTAGTTTTTTCGATCATCGAAGGAGACCAACACCAACTTTCGCCGTTTGGCCTCGGAGACACAACAAAACACAAAGGATGCCCTGCAAATTCCAAGCTGGAAGTTCGCGGTCGCATGCCCTCTCTGATTATCGCTTACTCCACGCTGTGTGGCTGAGTGCTGCACATCCTCACATGCACGTCACCATCGCTGTCTATTCTCGTGATTTCTCCTGGAATCCACGAGTTACATGGGCCAGGACAAAAACAGTTTGGGAACTGGTGGTTCTTTCCAAGTCAGCCCTCGTGTCCTTGCTTGCCCAAACAATCCTCCATCTTGTCACTCCAACCGCCGTGACCTTCCGCAGAACGCCTGGCTTCTGCGACGCTGACCATCTTGATGTAAGCCACGTCCTTGACAGGCAACAAGCGGGTAAAATCTCTGCCCTCACGCCATGCACATTCGACAAGGACAGCTGGGACATGCTCTAGAACGCTTCCACAACATCAAGCCTCACCAGAATCGCATCACAGTCGACCCCTGAATTCAACTTCCTACGTTCAGCCTGTAATGCATGATGAATGAAGAGCCCAACTGCACAAAGAAAAGCCTCCGGCCTGGACCTTGGGCTCGCTTGCAACCTTTGCATCTTCGACTCCGGCGACCTTGATTCGCACCTCCAAGGACTGGTGTTTCGTCTGAGACATGACGACCTCAGAGAACTCCACCTTGCAGATGTCGCCTTTTTGGGGTGGACAATGCAAGATCTGAACCCCTTCTGCCCAGGAATCATACTCGGAAGGCTTGTAGAGGCATGTGCTGCTCGCAAAATGAAATGCACATTGACCTCTCGACACGGAAAGGCCGGGAAAAACACCCAGCGCTCCATGATCGAAAGCATGTTCCTTCTTGTCGTGGCCATTCACCGTGAAAGAAAGCTTTCCTGCATCGAGATCTGCAGCAATGCCGACGACGTCACCGTTCTTCCATGTCTGCTCAAAGGTATTTTTGCCGCCGTGCCACAGAATTTGTCGGAATCCATCTCCTCCCCAGCCGTTCTCATCATCTCCTACACCGTCTTTTGATTTGCCGTCAGACGAGAAATTCTCCGTCAACAGGCCCACCTGTATGCAGCCTTGCACCTTGATGAGCTTGACTTCATAGTAGTATCTCCCTTTCTTCTGCATGAAGGAGCGGGGCAAGCCACAAGTCACAAAACGACTGCTGGGAGCACCGGCAGGTCTGTGACAAACAAGCGCGGCCACTTCCATGGGCCGGCCTTCCGTTTCGTTGATCTGTAGTGGAACGTCCCAGCCCCAGCTATCAATGCCAATGCGCACTTTGGCACGAACCTTTCCTTCTTCTACACTGCTTACTTGGACATCTGCCCACCAGACATTCATGATCCAAGTGTCAAGATGTACGAGTGATAGTGGCATGGTGCGTGAGGACGGGTGATGGATTAGGCGCAACGATTCCAAGTTCTCAAAACCCAGGTAATCGAAAACCTTGAAGCTTCGCCTTTGGCAGATCCGCTCTACACTTCCACACTGCGCGCCATCCACCCTGAAGACTACGTCCGTCGGGACGTCCTCGTCCTGCAGTTGCTCCGAAAGCAAACAAGCAAATGACGACCGGAAACCACTTGCTTACTCTTTATGCTAGGTCCTCCGCCAAGTCTGTGACCAATTCCTGAAGAGTGGTTCCAGAGCTGGGCAGGCTGTCGCTCGCTACCTCCGGACACCGCATCAGAGCTGGAATCCAAAGTTTCAGCATGTCTGTTCCAGCTCTCTGCCGCAAAGCCATCTTCAGAGGAGTCTCATTTTCCTCTCCTGATGGTTGCGTCAGGAGTTTGACTGTAGCTTCAGGCTCCATTCTGCCAACTCCACTCAAGGCACCCATGAGCTGGATCAAGCCGCTCCCCTGTCCCAAGGGCCGTTGCATCGACAGCGCTTGATGTAAAGGTGTCTGCCTCTTTTCTCGATCAACTTGCAACAAATCTGCACGTAGGCTGAGCAGAGCCGAGATCATCTTGACACATCCGGTGTGATGCATGGCCACCTTCGGGAGACTCTTCCGAGTCTCGGCATGCCTCCAATCACCGTCAACGGGAAATGCCTGCGAAGTACTTGCACGATATGGCCAAAAGTCATCACAATCTTGAAACCGCCATTCGCCTGGCTCAAGCTGAACAAGCTCCTCTTGGTTGGCACCTTCCCTCTTTGCCCACTTGTTCGGCTCTTCACTTGGAAAGTATTGGCCGTTAAAAGCACTTTCCCCGGCATCGCTGACGTCCACGATACCCAGGTGCCTCAGTGAGTGGTGCAAGGGCAGCTTGCCGGCAGAATCACGTGCTGACAACGCCTCATACATGATCTCTTCACCACAGTCCCTCCTCAACCGTTCCAAGTGGTCGAGGGCAATGTCCTGCTCTGCAAGCCCAGAGAGCAAGTGCAGCAGGTTCCATTCTTGATTTCCCAGCTTCCAGCTGGGCCAAGAACTATCGGCCGACAAGGCATGTTTCATCAACATCTCGACCAGCTTCAGTCGCACTGCACGGACCTGTTGACTTTTCTCGAAGAATGCCCGTGCTCTCGTGATCCAGTCGTGTACACTTCCAGAGCACATGTCCAGCAGCCGCAAAGGGACCTCTTCTGCTACCATATTCTGCGAGAAAAGCATTGCGGCTGTGTCCTTTGAAATTATCTTCTCCAGCGTCTCCTGCTGAGCCTTCTGAAGTGTCCGTCCGCCCCACTTCTTCAACACGGTGCTTGCAAACTCAACCGTTTCGCGCTCAATTGCGTGTTCCAGCGCGGATTTTGCTGCCGGTGAAGCAACAAAGAAGGGATCCGAATTTTCTCCATCATTCCGCAAAAGAGCTTCGGCAGCGTCCACGTCTCTCAACATCACTGCCAAAGTCAGCAAACTTTCACAAGAAGCTGAACCCATCTTTGAGATGTTGCATTTCAAGCCTTTCAATGGTTGTAGCCATGCCTTGTGTAAAATATCTTCCTCCTCCTCCTCGAAAGAGTCATCGTCAAAGATCCATGCCTCCTGTCCCGGCGGAAGGAAGAACCAGTCAAAGGCCGTCCTCGGTGGGGCCACCTTCACACAATCCGTCTGCTCCTTGATTTGCACATAGCCGCACCTGTTCGCCAAGTACATGAACGAGAACCCATCTCCTTCAGTCTTCTCTCCGACAGTGACGAAGCATCGTCCTGCATCCAAGTGGGAGACTTTGTCGGCCTTGACTTTGTCTTTGCTGGAGACCTGGAGCTTCTTGTCAGCCTTCCAGAAAGAGAACTCTTTGGCAAAGTCGTCGGGAGCCGTTGCTTCCAATATGGCCTTCAGCTGTCCGGCGCTGCCTTCTTCACGGCATGCGCTTTGCACTTCCTTTTCCAAAATCATGCGCAAAATGCCATGGATGTACGCCCGCTGGTCATTGCCTGGTTGACTCAATGCCCATTTCACGCCCAAATAGTGCAACGGAGTGATACCACGTTCATCTTGCTTCAAGCGGGCCTTCTTGTCCAGCAAGAGCTTCACAACATTCTTGCGATTCTCGTCCATCGTCCTATCTTTCAATGCAAGGTGCAGCGAGGTCGTCTGACGGCTCTCCTCATCGCCATCGATAGTTGCTAGATCCACTGCTGAGAGAACTTGCTCTGCCTCGTCAAACTCTGCATCTTGAAGTGCCTTGGACAATATTCTGTATTTATCTGTCAATATAGCACCAAGGTTCTCAATCTCGCCTTTCACCTCTCGGAAATCCGCTTGATCGCCGTAATAATCAAGCCTCGGTGCGCTGCAATGGCATTCAACTGTGTTTGCTTTGCTAGAAACTGCAGAATTCACACCAAGCTCGCATGATTGGGTTCCAACTCAAACGTCAAGAACAAGGGCCGGGCATGTGATGCTCCGGACGTCGTTCTTGCTCGTGAAGGCTCAGCATACGTCTGGCAAGCACCGCGGCAGTCTTGAAATGCTTGCACCTCACTGCTTCTGCCAATGGTGTATGATCATCCTTGGGTGACGGTCGAGCCATCCACAAGTCATGTTCGCATGAGTTCCCAGGTGCAATCCCTAGCAAAAAGAGATATTAGTTCCGACCCCAGTGGCATCAAGTCGGTGAAGCAAAACCTTTTGCAGCCAGTCAGGTGGAAGTGGGGCGGCAAGGAGAGCCTCTGCAGCTGCTGCCTGATTGCTCCTTGCGAAATAGTGAAGCAACGGACGGCCTTCGGCGACAGGCTGCATAAGAATCTTCGGCATGTTCTCATTCACTGCAACTTTTTCTTGCAAGAACGCACTGATGATTCGGCCAGCATCCCAAGGATTTCGCGCGGCACGCTCCAAGCAAGTCCTCTTTTGGCCGTCCTCATGAAAGACAGCCTCGGGGCAAGCCTCCACCAGCTCTTTGATGGGCCCACAAGCTAAATCCGGAGGACAGTTGGCAAAGTAATGTAGAACTTTGCAGCCAGCGTCCTTATGCAACACACAATGAAAAGACGTGGAAAAAGGGACCCTGACAAGCGTAAAGTAGCTTCTTCTTACACGAACCGAGAGCCCCAACTTCAGAACACTGTACCCAGCCATTGCGAGTGTCATCGGGAATTGACATGGCTTGCTTCACACTGCCGTCGTCTATAAGTTTCTTGATCAAGACTGACATGGCCTCTTCTGCAGCTTTCCCATCGAGGTGCTGCCGTGACGGGTCGGCTGCTTGATGGGCAAGAATATGTAGCGGAGTCTCCTTCTGCGAATTGACCACATCAGCACTCGCATCGTTCTCCAGCAATTTTTTGATCGTTTGCGTGCTTCCGTACCGAGCGGCGACGTGAATTGGCCGGTCTTGCAGCATGTTCTTCTCCTCAACATTGCCTTTGCGTTGGCACAAGAGCGCCACCACGTCCTGATTGTCATACCTGGCTGCCATGTGCAATGGCGTGCTGTGAGTAACATCCTTTCCATTAATCTCCTCATCTTTCTTGTGCAGCTTCAAGAGCAGGTGAACTAGCCGAAGGGCTGCAGGGGCTTTCAAGGCGGCTGCGTGATGCAGGGAAATCTTTGACCACTTCTCTTGTTGCACATTGCCCTCTCCTTTCTCATCGTCTTGTGTTTCGATTTCTTGCTTGTACATCTTGGAAAGCTCTGCCACACTCCACTTATCTTCGGCAAGTCCAAAAAGATCGCAAATTTCTGCAATCACCTTGCTTCTGTCCGGGAACATAGGCAACTCTCTGCCGATCATGTTTGAGCAAGGATGACGCTTCTCGGCCTGCTTGCACTCTTCATGTGAGATGGAGTCAAGAATGTGCCGGACTACTCGTCTGAGACCATACCGTGCTGCATAATGTAGGATGGTGAAGGAGTTGTCGTGTGGATTCGGTAACGCCATGATGTGGGACACCTGCATAGATGTGGATTCCATGCTCTGCAGAAGATGGAGCGCGTCTTCGTCAGCTTGCATGACCAGCGAAGCGATCCTACCTCCGTCGTGGCCACTCTCATCCGTTGAATCTGCCTCCGCATGGTGAAGCTTCCGGTAGCAGTGCTGAAAGGCGGGGAGGATCAAAGAGGTGTGGACTGCAGGGCTCACAGCCCATGCCAACGGAGAGTGCTCGCCGACGAGCTTGAACTCACACCTCTTCCGCAGAAGCTCTTCACAAACATCAACAAGGTCAAACCTGGCTGCAACATGGAGCAAAGTAGGGCAATTTTGCTTGTCTTCCGAATCCGTCCCACGCATGGAGACTGACATGCTGACAACGTCGGTCGGCAAGTTCGGATTCCAGCGGATGTCCGGCATGAGAAACCGACCCAATGCCTTTGCCACTTGCCCGCGCATTCCTGCCTTGGTCTCCTGCTGAATTGCCGTCTGGAACAAGAGCTGGCAAATCTGTTTATGCATTGGACGCCTTTCTGGCTCTTGACTTCGATGCTGTGATGAGCAAGAAAACCAAAGGGCATAGTCCAACGGCATGCGCTGCACATGGATGCTGGAGGGATCCTTCGGATCCCTTGACTCAAAGTCCTTTGGCTTATGAGCTTCATGATAATCTACGACCATCCACTCCCTGCTGTCGGAGCCTCCACCGCGCCATTTCACTGCGGCTGAGGCCTCCAGAACCCAACCAAGCCCAGCAAGGCCTTCCCCACCCATCAGGAAATTGAAGCCTTCACACCTTGCGGCTTCCCTCAAGCTGACGCCCTGCGTGTAGCCATCGTCTCCCATCTGTTTCAGCCAGTCGGGACAGTCTTTGTGGACAAGTCCACAATGGTCCACAGGTTTTCCTTGACAGAAGAACTGGGGTTCCACATCCGGCGGCAACACAGACTGCATGTCAAGCTTCGTGTACGTGATGCGGAAATCCCGCATGAGGAGATGGTCTGTGTGGTCGGGATTGGCACGCATGTCGAGCAACCACTTGACGTCTTCGTAGATGCCATAAATGGCTGCCCAGTGGAGCAAGGTCTTGCCATCAGCGTCTCGAGCAGCTACCAACTGATCCGGCAGCAAACCACAGCCCTCATCGTCCAGGTGCCCGCAGTACATCTGGACAATAGGTGCTGCATACCTTTGTTTCTTCGCATTGGACTCCGCCCTGCACGGATAGTCCTCGAAAAGCAGGTGTTCCGCTAAATCCTTTACGCTCTGGTCATAGATCGTCGATGTTGCATCAGACAAGGAATCACTGCAGCTCTTCTTGGGCCATTTCAGCGCCATGTCCAAAGGTGTTCCCATTTGTGTCATGAGGCAAATGGCGCCGCAGTGAAGGAGACACTTGACGAAGTTAAGATCCAAATGCTTGCAGGCCAGGTGGAGCATCGTCAAACGTTTCGTCTTGGACCTGTGATTCACGAAGGCCTTCAATTTCGGAGCGACCTGCTCTGCGATCTTGCGCCGAAACTCCTGCGAGCTCGCATGCTGAGCCGGCTTGGAATGCTCTCTGAAAACTGTTGAGTACAAGCTTCAGAATGTCGCGGTGTTCCTCTCACCGGCTGTTTGCTTCCACGGCAAGCAGGGAGTCTGACTCTCCGTGAGGATGTTTGGGAAGGTTCGAAGGAACGGGAGACAGTCGCACTTGTGTTGACTGTTCATGGGACAGCTCCCATGAAAAAGATGTTGAAGACTCATCGAACATAACTTTTTGATCAACACGGTTTAAAGTTTAAAGTCGCAGAAGAGTTCGGACAGGATGCTTCCTGCGTGTTATCGCCAAGGCTACGACGAGCGCTGACCGTCCTTCAGGAGGTCATCTTTCGAGTTCGTCTCTTTCAAGGACTCCTGTACTTTCTTCCAGTCGAGTCCGCTGTGTTCGCCCGCTTCCGTGGCCCAATCGAAGTCCTCCAGAAGTCTCTTGGTCAACTCGTGTTCCTTTCCCGTTTTGGATCTCACCTGTAGACCGCGAACCGGAAGTACCTGTCAGCAGCTCGGAAGCTTGTCTACACTTGCTGATGGCAGCCGGGGCCCTGGCCTGACGATATCCATGGAAGACCACGTAATCTTTTTCTTCGGATTCCAAATCGCATTCCATGAGAAGGGAGAACCTCTCCCCTCTGAACTCAGACGTGATCTCGAGCTGCATGTCTTGGAGATCACTGGCTTGCAAGCCCTGTGCGGGAGCCCTGGTACGGAACTTCATAGGGACACTGCCGGTTCCGCTGCGGAAGGCATGTAGGTGGTCCTTGATGTCCTCGATGATACCCTTGTCTCCTTTCTCCAGTGCATACTCACAGATTTGCCAGGAAACTTCGATGTCATCGAAGTTGTTCTCGAGAGCAAAGGCCAAAGGTGTCCTGTAAGCTGTGTCCATGTCAGCATAGGATGCTCGCTGCTCCAGGAGCCGAACGGCAAGGCTCTTGGCATCTCTGGACTTGCTGTACAAGTTCTGTGGGCGAATCCTCTCATCTGCTCCGCATGCATAGTGCAACAGCGTCCAGCCACTGCTCGAAAGCTTCCGCTCCACAAAATCCAGGGGCAAGCTTTCCAAAGCTTCCAAGTTCTCTCGTGTTAGTCTTTCACTCCTGGCGCAGGAGCAACAGGCACGCTCCAGCTTCCCGGATGAGAGCTCTGATGCGTCCTCGTTGGCATGGCTGGGGCCCGGGGCGTGCAAAAGAACCAAAGCTCGGTGAGCCACCTTGATCAAAGCCTTCTCGCGCTCCTCGGACAGAGACGTCCGATCCTGGCCGGGTGCCTGTCCGTGGGACGACGGCTCTTTCTTCCGTGGGGCCACCGCTTGCTGGAACAAGATGGTGAAGGCTTGGACATGCCGCTGCTCGGCTGCGATCTCAAGTGCTGTCAACCGATCGTCGGAGTCCCTGATATCAACTTCGAGCCAGCCGCTGCAGACGAGGTGTGAGAGCAAAGTGCCTGTGCCTGTCAGTGGCTTTGAGCCCTGAGACTTTTGGTGTTCAGTTTGGGTCTTGGGGTGCTCCAGGTTCAGGACTTCCTCGTCTTCGACTCCGTGCCTTGCGAGCAGGTGTAGCACGGTGTGCCGTTTCGAGCATGCCATGTCCAGGAGGCGCTTCCCCTTCAAGATCTCTTGCATCTTCTGCACAAGCAGGTTGCCGATCTTTCGTAGCTTGTCTTTATCTTCAGAGCTCTGTATGTTCTTTCCGCTTCCAACGCATACACACCATTGCTGGAAGGTTTCGAAGAAAAGCTGCGGATAAAAGGTGTTGCCCCCTTTCACCAACATGTTCATTGAGACGTGGTGCAAGGGAATTGCACCGGCTGTATCTTGGCTGAGGCAGTGACGCTTCATGGTGTCAAGATGCTTCTCAAAAAGCCACTGGCCAAATGACTGCAGGTAAGGATTGCGGGCCGCATAGTGCAAGGGGGACCTTTGATCAGGTTCTACAGACTTGAAAGCTGTTTTCTCCTCCAGATTGTCATCTAAGCAGGTGGGTACAGATAAGATCAATCCTTTGCACATTTCCGTGTTGTTCATGTCGCAAGCAAGGCGGAATATTCTCCAGAAGTACTCTTTGAACTCATCAACGCTGACATCCTTTGTCTTGATGCTCAGCTCCCGAATCTTTTGATCAAGAATGTTTGTCGCTTCCTTGTACTTCTCTGCATCCTGACTCTTGGCGTTTATGCTGTTTTCGTCGCCCTTTCGCGACTTCCTGCCCCATCCTGTGCAGCAGCGGCACAGCCGTGTCACTGTCTGCCAACAGCAGGGGCAGCAAAGCCCTGCCCAAGGACTGCTTTCTCGAAGGACGGCGAGCCTGTCCAACAGCTCAAACTGAGAAGTCTGCTCCTCCCATTCATATCGCCGCTGCACCCATAGGTCGGGGGGACCACAGGTTTTTAGAATCTCCTTGCAGAATGCACAGTCTGCTGAGCTCAGAACAACATGATCGGAGGAAATCATTTATCGTAGCCAGGGATCATGAATGGTGCTCTCGACCTCCTCCAGCACTTTGGAGAATTTGATTTGCCCCATCTGCAACTTGGCCTTGAACAGGGTGAGCTTGTTGATGAGGCTGTTGTAACCTCAGTAGCACGCTGCCTGTCGAATTGCATCTACGACGGCATCAGAGACAAGTTAATTGTGCAGCAATGCAGAGCACACATGACATGCAACCTGGCCGAGGAAAGAACGACATCAGTCTCCCCGCACGTGGCCATGAATGCATTGCCACGGAACGGACTTCAATAGCACTTGCGCAAAAAACACATCATGCCATGCCAAACGACAAGCAATGCCCCTTGTTGCCCCCTGCTCGCGGTACGCCGCCACACCCGCGTCCCAACAAATTGATGAGGACTTGCATTCAGAATGCAGGGCGGTTTCGCGAGTGAAGCATCCCTGTCCCTGTTCCAGTTGAGGAGGAGTATACGAAGCAGCAGCTGCTAGCAGAGGGGCGGGAACCACATCACACATCGGTGACTTGGAGGAGCCATCCAGGCTTGACTTGCCAACCCTGTGAATCCCAGCAGCTGGCGGAGCTGCAAACCAACCAAACTAATTACGTGTAGGAGCTCCTTCGAGGGCCTGGGGGCTTGGAGACATGGGACACGATAGCTCATCTACGAACACGTGACTGAGAAATCATGCCAGCTCAAGAGACGTTCTGATGCGAACCGATTCTTCTCCATGCGAGCTTGCCAGCGCCAATATGAACCGACAGAGGTCACAATGGTCGTGAGGCCAGACACACCTGCGATGTACACCCGGTTGTCCTCAAACTCTATCGAGTCTGTGGCCAGTGTCCACAAGGTTGAGATCGCCGACAACACGACCTCAGATCTGCTCCATGTTCTTCACTGACCCCTGTGCAACCTGTGACAGAATACTGCACAGTTTGGGCGCGGACAGACGGCAGGGACAAGGTCCAGAAGTTTACGTGCTCGTAGTAGCGCTCAGCACGGCGATGCACTTGGAAGCCCTTCTCTGCCATCTCCTCCCATTGCTGCAGCTTCTCCTTCTGTTCGAGAGTCAAGACCACCGTCACATCATCCCCCGGCCTCAAGGCCCACAGCGAACAGACAAGAGTCTGGGTCTACGTATCCATAAGGGTGAAAATGTGAAGGTTTCAGTAAACACATCAACAGAATCCCATAACCCTCTCTTTAAGGAGGCCATTTAGTTCGTTCGGGATATCACCCACGAGTCTATACCTATGTGCTCCTTGGGTCACTCGGGGCTGTCGAATTCTTTGTGGCGAAGGCCTGGCAGCTTCCACATCCTCGGTCCACGCCATGCGCGGTGCGCCTGGGCGAGCTTCAGGATCAGGGCCCGGCGGTTCCTCAGCGAGAGAAAGCTCTCAGACACCCCCTCAGGGGCTTAGCGACCGGAGGGCTTCTAAAACAATCAGGACGGTCCTATGTTCAGGATCCTGACACTTGCACAAGGTCTGTTCATAGTTCCGTCCAAGGGTCGGCGAAGGGGAACACTCGACCGGACATCTTGCTGGCTTCTACGGGGAATGATATCGATCCCAGTGCCAAATTGCTGCGATTCGAAGACCAAAGAGGGGATCGCGCAAGACTTCTCATGTTTTCACTGGGTGGTTCTTGACTTACCTCGTCACCGTAGCTCTTCAATTGCCGGCCCAAACTTCAAACGACGCGAAAACCTCCCCGCACGTCCCCTTTCTGCGAGCATAATGAAAAAGTTCCAACTTTGTCGATAGGCTACTGGCGACTTACTGCGGGAGTCGGCCAAGACCGCATGCTCTGGAGGGAATCCCTCGCGGAGCTCAGCGGCAGGCGGCAGCTCGAGGAGCGAGGCGGCGCAGGCGCTCTGGGATGCGACAGCCAGGAGCCCAGAACAGCGCGAGACCCGCGCGAGACCCAGGCGACAATTGCGGAGGGCCAGGACAGGGGCGGCGCGGTGTCGTGCGAGGAGGCACAGGAGTTGCGCGGCTTCGGGCACCGAACCTGCCTCCAGGCCGACAACGACCAGGCGGCGCTGTTTGATGCCGCTTGTGCCGGGCTGCGGCCGACACAGCGGTCTTCAGCACTTCAGGAACCCATTCTTCGTACGCACGTGGACAAAAATGCCAAGTGCTGAAGATTTCACAACGAGCTTGACTGATGTTTTCAAGTCCGATCGTCGAGACCATGTGACAGCACACCATGGAATGCAGCATGGTACATTGTTTGCAAACATTCCCCCCTTCAGGCTGTCGGAGTTGCAGCTCAAAAAAACGCAGAAGTGGGGATTTTTTTGGGGCCTGGCGTTAGAGGCATCTACAGTCGAACGTTGCGTGATCAGTGTTTGGAGCCGTCTTGGCAGGAGTCATTGTTCAAAGTGATTCCCAAGCCAGGTGATGTTGCCGAAGTCTCGAACCGCCGGCCTTCTGCAGTCATACGAATTACCTACACTGCTGCATTCACCAGTTATCGGGTAATATTGGATGAAGGACAAAGCGGTGATCAAGTGGGCCGTCGTCATAAATTTGGAGTCGATCATGCGTTTACAGTTCTGGAGACAATAATAGTTGGAGAATGCAGTGATTGGAAAGAACCACTATGGATCACAGGCCTTGATCTGCGAAAGGCCTGTGATCGGATTGAGTTTGATTCGCTTTTCCATGCCCTGTCTGACCAAGGTGTGCCATTACCGAATTGTAGCTTACTGTCGGCGCTGTATCATTTGCAATCTGGTCGTTTGAAGGACCGGCGACAGTTAGAACTCCAACGCGGGGTGAAGCAAAGCGATGTATTGAGCCCAAGTTTTTTCAACGCTGGCTTGGAGCATGCATTGTGGAATAGGAAAGCCAAATTGAAATCACAAAGTTTGCATGTTGGAATCCCCAAACGACCGACAACTGTAAGATATGCAAATGACATCGTATTGTATGCAAAGTCGTTCGATGAACTGGTGTGCTCATGATGGAAAGTTATATTCACGAGCTCGGGACAGTTGCGCTTCATTTGAGCTCAGACACAACCAACGTGATTTACAACTTCTCATGTTGAATCGGCTACGTATCTCGACAGTCCCTAATGTTGAATCGGCTTGGTTTCTGAGCATTTGTGGCGACATGGCAATGCCCGATCCAGTGCATGAGCATCCGGGAAAGCATTTGAATGGCAACTTGTTTCTTTCCAAAGAGCAGTCGACTGCGCAGGAGTCGTGTGACAGAGTCGTGATGGGCATGTCCCGCGCTTGGCACAGCTGGGGGCGGCTCGGGCTCAGCGACCGCCAACACGTGGTCCAAACATGTCCAAGGCAGGCTTGCACCAGTCGCGGCGCTGCCCAATTGCTCCGGCTTTTGGCGTGCCAGCGTGCTGAGGCCGTGCCGGCACACACACCTCCGCCCATCAGCCATGCACGCATGGGTTGCGCGCTGGTCGGGCCTGTAGGCCGCACAGCGAGCGCATGCCGCTTCGCTGCTTGAACTCCCCCCGCTGCCGAGCTTGGTGATGGCATTGAGCCAGACCTACACAAGGTCCTCGCTGATGCCCGGTGGCAGGCTGTCATGTTGTCCGAACCGCCTTGCGTGCGCCCGTGTTGCCGCCGTAGGTGATAGGACCGGGACCCACTTGGAGCAGTTGGAAAAAGGTGCGAAAAAGAAAGTCTACGGAGCAACCACCAACGGCGAGGCTTTGTGCTGCAACACAACCTCGTTTCCCCGCTTACTCGCGCTGGCCGCCCCGTCCCCGGTGCCGACGCGCGGGCGGGAGTTGGAAACCAACCATGGTGCTTCCAGGGCCGCGTCGCCAACGGCGTGCTACACCATGCCCCACCACCTGCGCGTCCAGGCTGTGGAGGTGACGAGCTGTCGGACAAGTGTTTGCGAGTTGGCGTTCCAGCACCCTCCGACATCACAACACAAGGCGCCTGGAGCGATGCGCCTGGCAGCTGTCGGGGGCGGGCGGGCTGGGCTGGGTCAAGGCAGCTACCGGGTCCTGCCGTCAGAAGCTACTCAGACCTAGTGGTGCCGACGGCGGGTGCTAGCGAAGCGGCCGCCCGCTCGGGGCGCTCGCTATTGCAAGGTCCAGGACGTCACCCAACGGGAGCGTGTGTGGCGCAAAGCGCGGAGCTGGCGCCAACTACAACAAGCCGGGTAGCCGCGCACTCCGGTCGCCTATGAACGCGTGCAACAGTGCTCCCTGAACCGTTGCGGGTGTGTATCCGTGGGGCAGTGCAACGAGTCGCAATGCGCAGGTAGGTGAACGAGCTGTTGTGAAGTAGAGCGTTGGACTCTGCTGTCGGAGCCAGCAACATCTGTGCTCTAACCACGGGAAGAGCCCGCCCCTCTTCAGCAGCAAGCTGCTGCAGGGTGTGGAACGCGTGCACCAGCGGAGCCGGCTCGACCGGGGGAGCCTGGCGGGAGGTGTGGAGGGCACGCTGCCATAATGGGGCGTGGCTTCCCAAGCGGCCAACGCAGCTAGGCGGCTGACAGCGGCATGCAGCCAGAGAACGAATATCCAGCTGCGCGTCTGCCCAAGCGCAAGTGCATCTGCAGGAGCTGGTTGTACCAAGCCGCATCGGCAGGTGGCGTGACCGGCGGAGACACCTCCGGTAGAGGAACCTACTGGCCGGGGCACGGCAAGACTTCCGGTGCTGCCGGCGTGGCAGAAGCGCGGGCTCGCGAGCAGGCGGAATCCGGCGGAGGCACACCGGGCGCGCATCCGTAGAAGGATAACTGGCGGGAACGTTGCAGCATGGCGCCGCGAAGCAGGTGCGGCAGGCGTAGCGTCGCCGAGGGAGTAATCAGGAGGCGTCTGAACCATAGAAAGCGAAGAAGATGGCAAGGAGGAACCCAAGGCCTATAGACACCCGAACAATCCCGAACACTACCCACAAGGTCGCCCATGTCGCCCATGTCGCCAGGGCGGGACCGGGGCGTCAATCCAACAAGGAAGGTCAGCACCGAGCGAGCGGTGCACGGTCAGAATGCGGAGAACATCGGAAAACGGTTTAAACCCTACTGGATCCACCCCCAGCAGAGCCAGGCTGTCCCAGGTCAGGTACCGGACGCACCTACACGCGAGCACCGGGAGCGACTATGGCGAGCGAGGCAATCTTTACAAAGGGGCTAAACAACCGTGGGCTGCACGAAGGCTGCGGGGCGCCCATGAAAACTTCTCAGCGGTTTTATTACCTTTCTATTTTGTTGCGGCTGGTGCCAAAAATGCACCGGGAGTCGCCAGGTGCCCATTGCGACTGCAGCTGCTTGAATGCGTAGCATGCGCTTTCCAGCCATGGCAAGCCAGAGTGCGCAGCTGGCGTGGGAGCCACTGAAGCCAGGCGCATGCACATGCACGTGGATATGTTTGATGTTTTTATCACACCTTTTTTCGGGCCAGCTTATGGCTCTTGTCACGTCGGGGTGGCCAGCTAATGGCTCTTTTTTTTCTCCTTTTTCTGCCTGACACGGCCAGCCTATGGCTGTTGTTGCAAACGTTATGGTTCTATCTTTCTGCTCTTGTCTCAGCGCGGTGGTCAGCCTGTAGTGTTTCTTTGTGTTTGCTGTTTGTGCTTCAACCCCTGAGGAAGCGCCACCGTGGTGGGGCCACCGCCGACGCCATGGCAGCAGAGGCCTCAGTGGCGTGTCCTCGCAAGTGCCCGTGGGGCAAGGAGGGCCGAAGCAGGTTAAATACCAACTTCAGGAACTCGCCGTGCAGCCTTGCTCACGTAGCAGCCTTATAAGCTGCGCAACTGCCCGCATGTCCTCGAATTTATGAACCGGACTGACACTGGGAGGTAGCTCCGCGCACGACTGACGGCACTCAGCGACAAGATCAATTTGCCCGTGGTTACATTCAGAACCACAAACTATAAATGGCGATGCATAATGGAGAAGGGCTGCAGAAGTTTCGTCAAACCACACGACGAGTGCTGCTTGGGACCGCAAGGTGCACAGGGAAGCTGGATCTACTGCAGGACGAAATCCCCCCCCTTTTCCCCGTAGACTTGTCCACAAGCTCCCAAAGGATTCTATTCCAGGAAATCAGATACTCCGCCACGCTGACCACGTAAAACGGATTTTCGGCCTCTCCGCTTCTCCGCGTTACATGTTCATGGTATTTTGAGACAATCCTCCGTATGTCAAAGCCTTTGTCCCGGTGATGCACCTTCCATCCGCTGGCATCCGCTAGAGGTGGAACTTGCCGAGCGGCCGACTTTCTGGCAGCGGGGGGGGGGATTGCCAGGCCGCCAACCGCCGCAAGAAGACACACCGAGGGGGCAAAAAGTGGCGCCGGCCTTCCAAAAAGAGCGCTGCTCCCTGACTTAGCTGGCCTCCGG